GAAAAAATCAACATTCAGTGAAATAGAGCACTTTCAAGCATTCTTGATGAAAAGACCAGAGCTGAATAGAAAATTTGACTTTCAAATATAAGACTCAAGTGGAACATGAAGAGGTAAACAGGAAAGAGAAATCATAAGAGACTTATTAAGGTTGAACTGTTTACATTCCTGCATGGAAAGATGATATTTATAATTCATGAGGCCTTTATCAGTATTAGGGTAGTTGGAGGAAAAAAATTATATGTATTTATGTATATACATAGATAGATAGAGGGCACAGGGTGAGTTGAAGATTAAGGGGTCATATCTGGAGAATAAAATTAAGGAATGAGAGAGGATTATACTAGGAGAAGAAGAAAGGGAGAGGTAGAATGGGGTAAATTATCTCAAAAAAAAAACCAAAGAAAAGACTCTTACAGTGAAGGGGAAATGGGGGAAGGTGAGAGAGAATGAGTGAATCTTATTCTCATAGGATTTGGCTTATGGAGGGAATAACATACACATTCAATTGGGTATGGAAATCTCTCCTACCCTGCAGGAAAATAAGGGGACAAGGGGACAAGAGAGCAGGGGGATGATAGAGAGGAGGGCAGATTGGGAAAGGGGGTAATCAGAAGCAAATACTTCTGAAGAGGGACAGGGTCAAAAGAAAGAATAGAATAAATGGGAGGGCAGGATAGGATTAAGGGAAATAGAGTTAGTTTTTCACAACATGTCTACTATGGAAGTGTTTTGCATAACTGCACATGTATAACCTATATTGAGTTGCTTGCCTTTTCAGTGAGGGTGGGTGGGGAGGGAGGAAGGGAGAAAATTTGAAACCTAAAGTTTTAAAAACATATGTTTAAAAGTTGTTTTACTCTTTCTCAGACAAGAACAAGTAAATAAAAATATAGGTATTAATACATTAAAAAAGAAAATTCTAAATATAAATAAATAAATAAATAAATAAATAAATAAATTAAAAGAAAATAAATAACTTCAATGATATTTCTGTGAGAACATTTACCATTTCAAGGAAAACTGACAGCGTCTGCTTGAGGATCATAGTTCTATAGCCAGTTCATTGGTCTGCTCTTTAGGACTCTGACCGTTTAGACACTAGACTCTGCCTAGCTGCCTAGACCTATATTATCTCCCTTAACTGGCTTCCTCAAACTTGACCTCTGGTCTGCCTAGAACTATGGCAGCTTCTACAAAGATGTTAGACCCTCCTGGTGATACCTGTCCTAATGATTAACGGTGGGCCTGCAAAGCTAGGCTGAGGAGTTTTAACTGTATCTTATAGGCCATAGGAACATCTGCTGGGGCTTTCTCTTTGTCAAAAGCAAAGCACTGAGAAATTAATGATTTGCCTTAATGATGATGTCGCCTTTCAAAAAGTAAAGGAAGCAACAAAAATAAACTGTCCATCCGTACCTGTTTCTCAACAAGAAGCAGAAAATGCCCACTGAAGTAGAAATTATAAGAACCTTGGGAAAAGTGACTATTCTATTACAGAGATCATGATAGGGAAGAAGAAGGAAGCCAGGCATAGTCTTCAGATTTGGGAAGAATAGATTTCAGGGAAAGAATTAGCCTGAAAGCCTAATATTCTGCAAGGAAGTCAGCCCAGGAGGGATGGTAAATGTTCAAAAATGAAAGCCTGAAACAAAGATGATTCCATTTCTGGGGCCACCTACACTGAAGAGGACATAAGCACCGTTGCCACTACCCCCCAACAATGATCCTTAGACCTTAGATGTAATTCCAAAGGAGGACAGAGGAGTGACATGGCTTTGAGTTGCTGGGACTGTAGGTATCCTTAATCTCCTGACCCTCCTGACTGCCACTGCTATTATTCCTCTATCCCATGCTCTGTGCTTCTGAGCACCCTGATAATTTTTCCTATAATTCTCTCCAGCTATCATCTAATATTTCTTCTTTTGACTCTAAGACACTTAGAAAGAGTCATTTATGCTCCCTCCTCCACTTCCTCACCTCAGTCCCTTGTAATCTGATTTCCATTCCCACCACTCTAATGAAATCATTCTTTCCAAAGTTATCAGTGATCCTAGAATTGTGAAACCTGGTTGCCTTTTCTTGCTCTTCATTCCTCTTGACCACCCTAGTTAGGACTTTACTAAGCACTCTTTTCTTCCTGGATGCCATTTCCTTTTTTGGCCCTTGTGATAACATACCATTCTTCTGAATCTCCTTCACTTGAAGAACAGCTGTTAATCCTGGGACTTTTTCTCCTTTCTCTTTACACTCTTTTCCTTGGAGAATCTCATTTGCCATCATGTTTATATAATTCTGTACAGAGGAGTCTTAAATCTGTATATCTAAATCTAATCTTTCTCCTGAATTCTAGGACTGAATCTTCATTTGCCTATTGGATATCAACGCCTGGATGTCTGTTGGACATCTCAAACTCAATTTGTCTAAAATGAACTCGTCTACCCCCTTAATTTCTCCCCTCCTCCAAATTACTCACATTAGTCCCCAACCATGGGTCTTGGGCTAAGCTGACTTTCTCCCTAGTTGTTCCAGAGACTGGAAATAAATCAGAACTTCAGTCATTGGGTAGCAATCAGAGATAGTCTTTTTAAGGAGGTACCAGGAGCAGGTCCATATTATATAGGGGGAGATGTATGCTCTTTGAGTTGATTGGAGAACTCCCCTGATCAGCCTACCTTCTGGGGGGTATCTAAAAGTCTAAGACATTTGGCATACCCATATGAGAAACTGAATTTATATCCAAAACTTTCAAAGATGTTTTTCTCTATAATGTTATTGTTATATAGATTGTTCTCATAGTTCTGCTCTCTTCTCTCTGTATCATTTTGTTGAAGTCTTCCCAGTTTCCTCTGAAACTACCTATTTCATCATCTTATAGCGCAATAATATTCCATTATTTTTATATATCACAATTGTTTTAGCCCCTTTAGTTTCCAATTTTGGACTACCATGGAAAAAGCTGCTGTAAATATTTTTGTACATATAGGTCCTCTTACTTTCTTTGATTTCTTTGAGGTATAGGCCTAGTAGTGTTAGAACTGGGTCAAAGTTAGTAAAGGGTACAGTTTAGTAGATTTTTGGACATAATTCCAAATTGCTCTCCAGAATGGCTAGATCAATTCACACCAAAAGTGTAGTAGTGTACCTGTTTTCCCATAACCCTGCCAATATTTGTCATTTTCCCCCTTTGTCATATCTGTGAGTCTGATAGGTATATGATAGAATCTCAAAGTTGCTTTAATTTGTATTTTTTCTAATTATTTGTTAGATTATTTTTCCACATATTTTTTGATAGCTTGGATAGCTTTCTTTTGAAAATACCTGTAACGGCCCTTAGTCTTATAAATTTGAATCAGTTCCTTATATATCTTGGCTATAAGACCTTAATAAGAGAAACTTGCTGCAAAGAATTTCCCCCAGTTACCTCTTTCCTTTTTAACTTTCACTATTAGATTTGTGTAAAAACTTTAAAAATCTTATATATCAAAATTGTCCATTTTACTGTATGTGATCCTTTCTATCTCTTCTTTAGTCATGAATTCTTCCCATCTTCATAAATCCAAAAGACAATTTCTTCTTTTTTCCTCTAATTTGTTTATAATGGAACCTTTTATAACTAGGTCATATATCCATTTGGACTGCTGTCCAGTTTTCCCAGCAGTTTTTGTCAAATAGTGAATCCTTTCTCCAGTAATTAGGATATGTGGATTTATCAAACACTGTGCTACTGTGTTTGTTTGCTTCTATATGTTGTTGACCTAATCTGTTCCACTGATCAACCTCTTTTTTTAAACACCACCAAATCATTTTTATAATTATTGTTTTATATTACAGTTTGAAATCTGGTACTGATAGATACCTCCTCCTAACTTCATTTCCACTTTTTTCATTATTACCCTTGAGATTCTTTACCATTTTTTCCTTCATGTGAATTTCATTATTTTTTTAAGCTCTATAAAATATTTCTCTGGTAGTTTGGTACAGCACTGAATAAGTAAATTAATTGAGGTAGTATTGTCATTTTTATTATTTTGGCTCAACCTACCTATAAGTAATAAATGTTCATAAAATTATTTACAACTGTCTTTATTTCTGCAAAGAATGTTTCGTAGTTGGATTCATATAGTTTCTGGGTGAACATTGGTAGCATATACTCCCAAATATTTTATAGTTTTTTTTGGTAGCATACACTCCTAAATATTTTAGTTTCTCCAGGTTGCTTTCCAGAATGGTTGTATTAATTCATAGGTCCACTAGCAATGCAATAGTGTGCCTTTCTGTAAACAACTGAGGAGGAATATTTGTCAATGTTGAAGGTTTTGTAGAGGGATATAGTGGAAAGAATGCTGAAGATCCGGGCATCATGACTTCCAGTACCAGCTCTGACATTTAGCTATATTATCTTGGAAAAGTACAAATTGGTCAGGTCTTCCCCAGGCCCACACCCCGTTGTGTCTGGCAAAATGATCTCTTGGGGAAATCCTTTTCCATCTAGAACTAAACCTGATGGAGGCCCAGGTGTTTTACCTGGGCTTTTATCGCCACCTGCTGGCAAGAGCATTGTGGTGCTAAAAACAAGTTGGAAATTGAGGAAAAGCAGCATCGATTGAGAGTTTAATCAGAGATTAAATTAAGTAGAGACTTAATGTCTGGGAAATGGGAAAATTTAGAGGAGAGGGAAAGATTGGGTGTACAAGTGCTAGAATTGTAGACCTTTGAAACTAGAAGGAGACCAAGAGATCATCTAGTCTAATTCCATATTTTAAATTTACAGTTGAGTCTCAAAGAAGAAAAGAAATTTGTCCAAAGTCACACAGCCAATTAATTAGTGGCAAAGCAAAAACTTGCAACTCTTTGCCAATGAAACTATTCTCCCTCTTTCTTCCTTACTGGAGGAAGGCATATATGATGTTAGAGTCAAAAAGGGGTCCTTAAAAACTGTCTAGGAAGCCTTTCATTTGACCAAGAAAGAAACTAAGACTAATTTTTCACGTTTTTAGAGTTCCCTGTGTCAGATGCTGAGCAAGATACTGCAACATTCTGATGCCCATCATGAAGCACTCCTTTAAGGGTAAGCTAAGCTCAGACTTGAAGGATGAGATACCCAGAGCTTCCCTCTCCAGAGCTATGTATCACCTATGCCCAGCTAATTATAACACAAAGAAGGCCAAAAGTGTGGATGAACATGGAAGAAACTGAATGCCTGGGTCTAGGCTGGCCTTTCTCTCCCCATCCTACCCCCTTGATCTGACTTATAACTAGGTGAGGATGAAGTTGCCAGAGAAACATAAGGAAAGTCAAATGTAGTGGTAGATATCTGTAATTCCAGCTATCTAGGAGAGGCTGAGGTTGGTGGATCTCTCGAGCTTGGGCATTCTGAGATACAGTGTCCTAAGCTGAGGGGATGTCCACACAATTTGGCATAGTGAGTCCCTAGGATTGGGGTGCCACTAAGCTGCTCAAAGAAGGGTGATGTGACCCAGGATCAGAAAAAGAGCAAGTAAAAGCTACATGCCAATTAGAGAGGGATTGGAATACCCATAGCCCTTGTACTTCTGACCTGGGGGAAATAGGGAGACCTGATATTAATAAGCAGACATAAATAAATAAATCTATATTTTTAAAAGAGGAAATATAAGGAGGAATCAGAGTTTCAATGGAGAAAAGAGGTGGGTAATTAAGTGCAATTATATAGAGGCTAGCTGGCAATTGACTTCCTACTTGAAAACTAGGCAGAGGAAAGTATGATGATGGTGTGAGGGCTTGGAAGGAGTATGTTAGTGGCTAATCAAAGGTGGCTGAGAGAGATAGCGTAACCACACGCAGCACAGCAACAAGCTGGGTGTTTATTGAACAGGCAAGTTGCCACAAAAGTTAGCCAAGAAAGATGTCAACAAGAACTGCAAAATGCTGAGTATCTGGTTTTCAGCAAGGAAGTATGGTGAGGTAAATGTGGTAGTGACCTTCTGGGGATGTGCTTTGCTTGTTGTCCTGCCAGAATCATGTGACAATGTTTGTTAAAAAAAAAAAAAAGTAAAAGTAGCTTTCCATCACAGAGCAGAAAGTGAAGGGGCTAGCTAGAATCTATCCACCCTTCAGGTTGTCAGAAAGAATGAAGTCTTCCATGAAGGAATGGAAGAAAAGTTTCAAGGAGGAGAGAGAAGAAACATCAGCTAAGGAGTCAGAGGGAATCTTAACCTGTATCCCAACCAGCATGTTAGGCAGCAGAAGAATTTATGACAGGAATAAGGGGAAAGTTGATTACTGAACATTTGTAGTTAAGTAACACATTCGGGGCTGTTACCGCAGAGATTGTACTAGAAATGCTAGCTGTGCACTCAGTGCAACCACCGAGGCTAAGATGCGACAAAGTATGGACTTGACTCTGCTGCTTATTTTGTGCTTGTGCTTATTTTGGCCTAACAATTAACACCAAAAAAACCAAAAGTTCTCCACCAGCCAGCACTACACCATCCATATATAGAACCATTGTTACAGCAAATGGGGGAACTGTGAATGTTGTGGATAAATTCATTTACCCTGGCAGTATCTGGGATGTATACATACATGATGAGGTTGACATATGCATTGCCAGAGCTAGCTTGGTATTTGGGAGGCTCTGAAAGAATGTGTGGGAGAGAAGAGGTGTTAGACTGCCTACTATACATGTCTATAGAGACGTTGTGCTGACCTGACTGTCATATGCCTGTGAAACCTGGGCAGTCCACCAGTGCCATGTCAGGAAACTGACTTGTCTTAGAAAGATTGTGAAGATCACCTTAAATACCTTTCTCAAGCTGAATGGCCAAGCATTCAAACTCAACTTCAGAGAGTTCAACTCAGATGGGCTGGCCACATTGTTCAAATCCAAACATACATTTGCCTAAAAGACTATTTTTTCTTTTTTTTTCTTTTAAATACCATTTTATTTTTTCCAATTACATGTAAAGATACATTTTTACCATTTATAAAATTTTGAGTTCCAAATTTTCTACCTCCCTCTTTCCCCTCTTTCCTCCCTAAGATGGTAATCAATTTCATATAGCTCTTATTTATATGTGTATATATATAATATACATATACATAATCATGTAAAACATATCTACATATTAGTCATGTTGTGAAAGAGGAAAGAGAACAAAAGGAAAAAACTATGAAAAAAAAAGTAAAAATAGTATGCTTCAGTCTGCATTCAGACTCCATCAATTCTTTAGCTGTGGATAGCATTTTCCTTCATGAATCTTTTGGAACTGTCTTGGATTGTTACATTCCTGGGCAGAGTTAAGTCAATCATAGTTGATCGCACAATGTTTCTGTTATTGTGTATGATGTTCTCCTGGTTCTGCTTACTCTACTTTGCATCAGTTCATGTAAGTCTTTCCAGGTTTTTCTGAAATACGCCTGCTTGTCATTTCCTCTAGCACAATAGTATTCCATTCCATTCATATGCCACAACTAGTTCAGCCACTCCCCAACTGATGAGCATCCCCTCAATTTCCAGTTCTTTGCTACCACAAAAAGAGCAGCTAAAATTTTTTTGTACATGTCAGTTCTTTTCCATTTTTTGTGATCTCTTTGGGATATAGACCTAGTAGTGGTTTTGCTGGATCAGAGGGTATGCACAGTTTGATTGCCCAAATTGCTCTCCAGAATGGTTGGATCAGTTCACAATCCCACCAACAGTGCATTAGTGTCCCAGTTCTCCCACATCTTCTCCAATATTTATCATTTTCCTTTTCTGTCATATTAACCAATCTGATAGATGTGAGGTGGTACCTCAGAATTGTTTGCATTTCTCTAATCAATAGTGATTTAGAGCATTTTTCATATGACTATACATAGCTTTGATTACTTCATTGAAAACTGCCTGTTCATATCCCTTGACCACTTATCAACTGGGAAATGACTCATTCTTACAAATTTTACTCTGTTCTTTATATATTTGAGAAATGAGGCCTTTATCACAGATACTTGCTGTAAAAATTGTTTCCTAGCTTTCTGCTTTCCTTCTAATCTTAGCTGCACTTGTTTTGTTTATGCAAAAACTTTTTAATTCAATATAATCAAATCAATATAATTCAATATAATCATATCTCTCGTTTAGTCGTAAATTCTTCCCTTTCCATAGATCTGACAGGTAAACTATTTATTGCTCTCCTACTTTGCTTATGTATCACCCTTTATGTTTAAATCATGTACCCATTTTGACCTTATCTTGGTATGCAGATGTTGGTTTATACCTAGTTTCTGCCATACTGTTTTCCAGTTTTCCCAGCAATGTTTGTCAAACAGTGAGTTCTTATCCCAGAAGCTGGTCTCTTTGGGTTTAACAAATACTAGATTACTATGATCATTTACTACTGTGTCTGGTGTGCCTAGTCTATTCCACTGGTCCATCACTCTGTTTCTTAGTACCATATAGTTTTGTGACTGCTGCCCTAAAAGACTATTTTACAAAGAACTCACACAAAGCAAGCACTCACATAGAATTCTGAAGAAGTCATACAAGGACACTCTCAAGGTCTCACTGAAGAATTTTGGAACTGATTGTGAGGCATGGGAGACACTGACACAGGACCACCCACCATGGTGTGCATGTATCAAAGAAGGCATTGTGCTCTATGAGCAAAGCAGAATTGCAGTAGCTCAAAAGAAACATGAGATCCACAAATTTAGCAACATCTCTACTCTAAATGTTCACATGGGCTATTTGTGCCTGACCTGTGATAGAGCCTTCCAAATCCTATCGGTCTGATCAGCCACAGTGGGACACACTTGACCCCAACGTAGTAATGTCATTTTTGTCTTCTCTGAGAACAAAGGACAGCAACCAACCATAAATGCTAGCAATAGCAATAAGAGAAGAAAAAGAAATTGAAAGAATCGGAATAGGCAACAAGGTAATAAAACTATCTCTTTTTGCAGACAATATGATGGTAGACTTGGAAAATCCTAGAGATACAACTAAAAATTAGTTGAAACAATTAATAATTTTAGCAAAGTAGCAGGATATAAAATAAACCCATGTAAGTCATCAGCAGTTCTATATATCACCAACAAAGCCCTGTAAGAAAAGAGAATAAAAGATTTTTCTATTAAAATAACTATAGACGATATAAAATGCCTGGCAGTATATATGCCAAGACAAACCCAAGAACTATATGAACATAATTATAAAATGCTTTTTATACAAATAAAGTCAGATTTAAATAATTGGAAAAATATTAAGTATTCTTGGGTGGGCTGAGCCAAAATATAACAAAAAGTAATGATTCTGCCTAAACTAATCTACTCATTCAGTCTCACACTAATTAAATTACCAAAAAGTATTTTATTGAGCTAGAAAAAATAATAACAGAATTCATTTGGAAGAACAAAATGTCAAGAATGTCAAAGGAATGAATGAAAAAATGTAAAGAGATCTAGCAATACTAGATCTTAAACAGTATAAGGTAGTAATTATCAAAACTATGCGGTACTGGATAAGAAACAGAAAGGTGGATCAGTGGAATATAGTAGACCACAATACACAGTGGTAAATGATTATAGTAACTTTGTGTTTGATAAACGTAAAGATCTAAGCTTTTGGGATAAGAACTCACTATTTGGTAAAAATGACTGGGAAAACTGGAAAGCAGTCTGGCAGAAAGTATAGACCAATATCTTACACCAAGATAAGGTCAAAATGGATACATGACCTAGACATAAAAGGAGATAGCATAAGTAAACCAGAAGAGTATGGAATATATTGTCTATCAGATTTGTGGATTGGAGAAGAATTTATGAATAAATTAGAGATAGAAGGCATTACAGGATATAAAATGAATAATTTTGATTACATTAAATTAAAAAGGTTTTGTATAATTAAAACCAATGTAGCCAGGATTAGAAAGAAAGCAGAAAATTGGGGGGAAATTTTTATAGACAGTTTCTTAGATAAAAGCCTCATATCTCAAATATATAAAGAACGGAGTCAAATTTAAAAGAATATGAGTCGTTCTCCAGTTGGTAAATGGTCAAAGGATATGAACAGGAAATTTTTGGGAGAAGAAATCAAAGCTATCTACAGTCATATGAAAAATGCTCTAAATCATTATTGATTGGAGAAATGCAAATTAAAACAACTTTGAGGTACAATCTCACACCTGTCAGATTGCCTAATATGACAGAAAGGGAAAATGATGGAGGGGATGTGGAAAAATTAGGACACTGTTCACTGTTGGTGAAACAATGAACTGATCCAACCATTTTGGAGAGCAGTTTGGAATTACATGCAAAAAATTATAAAATGGTATATACCCTTTGACCCAGCAATACCACTATTAGGTCTGTTTCTCAAGGGGACCAGAGAAAAAGGAAAAGAACCTATATGTTCTAACATAGTTATAGCAGTTCTCTTTGTGGTGGCAAAGAACTGGAAATTGAGGGGATGCCCATTAGTTGAGGAATGGCTGAATAAGTTGTGGTGTATGATTATGATGCTACCATGCTTTAGGAAATGATGAGCAGGTTGGTTTTAGAAAATAATGGAAAGACTTGCATGAAATAATGTGGAGTGAAACAAGCAGAACCAAGAGAACTCTGTATACAGTAACAATAATATTGTTCAAAGACTTACTGTGAATGACTAATCTATTCTGAGTAATACAAGCATTGAAATCAACTACGAAGGACTTATGAAGGAAAATGCTGTCCACCTCCAAAGAAGAACTGATTTATGGGAGTACGTATTATATGGTTCCATATGTGTGTGTGTGTGTGTGTGTGTGTGCGCTCACAGGTGTGCATGCATATGTGTAAATGTTGGCTTTCTCTAATGCAGGGTTGGCAGGGAGGGAGGGAGACAACACAGAACTCAAAATGTAATAAAAACCAAAATTTTTAAAAAAGAAAGATCATGGTAGATATAAAAGATTGCTCCAAATCATTTATAATAGGAAAAATACAAATCAAAACATCATGCCTAGCAAATTGGCAAAGATGACAAAAGATTAAATAGTTAATATTGGAGGGAAATACTGTTTGTGGATTAGAACAATCATTACGAGGGGCAGTTAGGTGGCACAGTGGGTAGAGCTCCGGCCTTGGAATCAGGAGGGCCTGAGTTCAAATCCAGCCTCAAACACGCAACACCTACTAGCTATGTGACCCTGGGCAAGTCACTTAACCCTGACTGCCTAGCAAAAAAGAAAAATATAAGAACATTATGTAAAGTGATATGTAACTATGCTAAAAATGAATTGAAATATCTATTATACCCTTTGACCCAGAGATCCCCACTGCTAGGCATCTATCTCAAGAACATCAAAGATGGAAAGAAATGTCACATTTATACCAAAATATTCATAGCACTTTTATAGTAGAAAAAAAAATGAGAGCAGAGTAAATGCCCATAAATAGTGGAATGGATAATCAAATTTTGGCATATGAAGGTAATGGAATATTTAGGAGATGAATTCAAATCCTTCCTCATTTTATGGTATGCATATCAGATTAAAAGTTGTGACTGCCAAAATAATTATGAGGCCCTGATTAGGAAAATTCCTAACATTTAGGCACAGGTTTTGCTGTCTGTTCTCATTTAAATTCTTGTTTAGCCCCTGGCCTCTTAATGTTTGAGGCAAAATGAGGATACAGGAAACATTTAGGTAAAACAAGCAAGTAGAGCACATTACATTGTCTGTTGCTGGATTGGCAGGAGAAGCAGAAGTTGGGAAAAGAACAGGCCCTTTTTAAATAACTTCCCTCAGTCCTTGAAGAGATGGGTATAACATGCAACTTCAGCCTGAGTCTCATGCTCTGATATCTGGAGGGGCCTAATGGCCCTCTTTGCTTTCTCACTTCTCTGACCTATTTCAACACTCCTTTCATTTTCTCCTTTCAGCTGTGGTCCTGGTGCCACGTATTCTTTCTGAGTTAGTTCCTTAGGTCCTGGGCAAGGCTAAGGACACTTGTCTCCCCAGTGCTTAGCTTTTGAAGTACCCACTCTTTCCTTTCAATCTCTGTCTCAAAGAGTGTTTCAGAACTCTTAGACATGACTCAAGTCTGCCTTCTGTCTCAAAGATATGAAGAGTCCCAAATAACTCTCAGAGCTAAGAAGAAATGCTTGTCCCTTTGAACTATAAATCATAGGATGCCAATCAGTTTTTAAACCTCTATTAAAGAAAGAACAAAAGGAAAAAAACTGAATACTTTATAATTATAATGACTAAGCTTAGCTCCAGAAAAGACCTAAGAAAATGTAGCTCTCTCCCCTCTTTGCAGAAGTGAGGGGCTATATGTGTGGATTAATGAAGGTACAACTAGACACGGTTGACATGTTGATTGGTTATACTGAAATGCTTTTTTCCCCTTTCTTTTTTGACCTTTGAAGGAATCTCCTGAAAGGTAGAAGAAAAAGAGGAACATATAGAGAAATGAAAGTGATATAAAAATAATATCTATCAATGAAAATAATATTTTTATTTTAGAAGAAAGAGAACAGAGACCCATTTGGGACTTCCAGGTCACATGAGCAACAAGATAGAGGACTAGACATTTTGTTTGATCACCCCTAACTCTCAAACCTCTCCAAAACAGAAATTATGCACCAAAGATAAAATCATCTTCAGTTGTATCCATGGTCTAGAATCTAAAGGAAGTTTGAAAAAAAAAAGTATAAAAACCCCATGAACTCGTCCTCACTGAACATGAGCTCATTTAGTACCACTCCCTCACCAACTAGATGTTAGCAACAAGGCTACACTAATAAACCAAGGCTGGGACATAGGCCTACAATGAAACCCACCCGTATACCAAAGATCTCAGGAGGAAGAAAAGTCAAAGACCTTGAACATTAAGTAAATAAATCAATAGGGAAAACATTAATAACAGGAGGAAATATGACCTCCAGATCTAATAAACAAGTTTAAGTATATATGAATAAATACTACAAAACAAAAGAAAATGATCCAATCCTTGATAAGATGGAGGACCCTGTGAAATTTGAGAACATGCAACCATAATGTGTTGTTCCTGAGTGGTTTAAAAGAGAAATGATAATTATGAGAACAAAAATTGTAGCCTGCACAGCAAAAATAATAGGCAGAATACAAAAAGTGGAATCTGTGACAGCAAGTCTCACCAGAGAAACAAAAGTGAGAACAATGGATTGGGAATACAAATGTGGACAATCTAGAAGAGAAGCAAAAAGCAAGAATATTAAAAGAAAATACACTCACCATGCAAGCATAACATATGAATCTTGAGCACAGGATGCATAGAGACAACCTAAGGATCATAGGTCTCCCAGAAAAACACGACAAGACAAAAACCCTTTACACTATAATTCAGAAAATAATAGATGAAAGCTGCCTAGAACTGCTAAATATAGAAAATGAAATACCAACTGAAAGAATTCACAGATTACTTCTGGAAAAAAAAACCAAAAACAACAAAAAACAAAGCTACAAAGTCCAAGGCACATTGGGGTTAAATTTAACAATTCAATTCAGAATCAAGAAGTTATTCTTGAAGTGATCAGGAGAAAGATCCTCAAATACAAAGGAAAGGAAATTTGAGTAACACAAGACTATTCTGCACACACCCAAAATATAGTAGGGAATGGAATAAGGTGTTCCAAAGAGCTTAGTTTAGGATGCAGCCTGGAGTGATCTACCCTGCAAATCTGAGCTTAACCATATGTGAAAAAAGATGGATATTCAATAATAAAGGGTTGTTTGAAAGATTTTGAGAAAGAAAACCAGATCTGAAGAGATTATTTCTTGAACACCCCAAACAACAGAAATGCAGGAAAAGTGACTAAATGCATCAGCCCAGGACGGCAAAAGTAACAGAGTAACGACAGAGACCATTAAGAGAGTTCTTTCTAAATGTACACAGAGAGACAGAGGTGAAGGCAGAAGTCCAGTGGAGATAACCAGGAGGATGCAGGCATGGGGCATTATATGGAAAGGACCAGGTGACACTCTGCCTACAGGTTAATCAGTGTTTTTGTTTTATTGTGGTGGTACATTACAGTTTAGGAGAGTGCATGGAAGGGAGAGAGGGCAACAAGGGGTAGACAGGGATGTGTGATCCTCAGGAAAAACGGAGGGATAGCAGTGAGAGGAAGGTGACCCCTGTGATATCAGAAAGAGAAGAGAATACAGAAGAGAGTGGGTGAGGAGGAGGAGGGAAGGGTTAAAAAAGGGGGAGATGGAAGAAGGAGGCTTTACTCTGGTGGTGGGAGAGGGTTGTACTGATGAATGCTCCTATGGGTGAAGAGAGATGGTCTGTGAAGGGAGTTGGGGACTTTGCACTGGGGATGGCCTGGGGAATTTGGTGCTTGAAAAGTCTATTCATCCTACCTCAGGAGGGAGAGAGTTGGAACTCCTAGGGGCAACTGGCATCTGGGGCAATGGGAGAGCATGGGTAAAGGTAACCAAGGAAGGGCTACATAATCAGGAATGTCGTGGGGAAGGGCCCTACCATAGGGCAGTATCCTCTGCAATAATTGGCATTGTTCTGGGAGTAAGGCACAATGGAAAATCCGTGGGGCAAATTCTACAAGAGCAGAAACTGCCTACAGGAAAAAGTCTAGAATAGATACCTTGGAAGCTTTGATTAAGTGAAGAGTACAGAGAAGAGAGACCAGATAATTATAGGGATCATAAATCAGAGAACAAGGCTCTAGAGTAGACAGAGAGGATAGATAATGAAGAGAGTGAGAGAAATCCTTTTTGGAAAGGGATGCAAAAAAAATGAAGTTAAAAAAACAAACAGGATAGTTGAAGGGAAGGAGAGGAAGGGGGAACTGTTTGAAAGGAAAAAAGGGGGGGAGAATTTTATATGACTGCATAAAAGCAGGAAAGAAAAAGGAATTAATAAGCAAAACCTTAAAGAGAAAAGGATAAACTCAAGGAGGATTCAGGGGGAAGAGAGACAGTGGAAATAAGGTCACATTAAAAATGATTAAGGCAGGGGGAAGTGAGGTGGCAGAACTTAAAAGACTTGCTCAAGGTCATTCAGCTGGTTTGTCCAGGGTTCTTTTTTTTTAATTTTCTTTTATTTTTTTTTTAAATTTTATTAATTTATTTTGATTTATCAACAATCACTTCCATATGCTTTTGGGTTGAAAATTTTTCTCCCCCTTCCTCCCCCCCACCCTCCCCAAGACGGCGCACAATCTGATATAGGCTTTACATTTACATGCCCATTAAACATATTTTCACATTAGTGAAGTTGTAAGTAAAAATTAAAACCAATAGGAGGAACCATCAGAAAGAGGAAACAAAACTCAACAGAAGGTAAAAATAAGTGATAGCAATTCGACTTCCATAGTTCTTTCTTTGGATGTGGACAGCATTTTTCATCCCGAGCGAGGCCTCTGGAGATGTCTTAGATCCTTGTAATACTGAGAAGGGTTCAGTTTAATAATATTAGTCATCGCATAACATGGCTGTTATTGTGTACAAAGTCCTCTTGGTTCTGCTCACTTCACACAGCATCAGACCATATAGGTCTTTCCAGGTTTTTCTGAAGTCAGCCTGTTCATCATTTCTTGTAGCACAATAGCATTCCATTGTCCAGGGTTCTTAATGCAACATTTAATTCAAGTAGATAGTGAGCACCTGTGAGCTAAGCACTGCATTTTGGAGAGGAGGCTGCATTAAGCACCTTAAGTTGAGTGTGTTCTTTTTCCTCTTGGTATTCCTGGCACCTACCACGGTGCCTGGCAAATGGTATCAATCAATCAACCGACAAGCATTTAGTAAGCCTACTATATGCTGAGCGCTGTGCTAGGTGCAGGGGGTACAAAGACAAAAGAGAAAACAAGAAGTTTGTCAAGACAGTACACACATGTACACACACACACACAATTGGTGCAAGATGCCTGCTCCCTAGCTTTCATCGTAAACTTTTTTTCTAGTTAGCATGTCCGGTAGGTAGTTGATGATACTGGGGAGTGAGACTCAGGTCAGAAACAGGGCCTTCTATCTAGAGCTGGGCGTCATCTGCATAAAGATGATAACAAAACCCATGTGAGCTGATGAAGTCACAGGAAGAGAAAGTCAAGAAAGAGCCCAGGGCAGAGCCTGGGGAGACACTCACAGCCGAGGGTGAGATGGATGAAGGTCCAGGAAAGGGGACCAAGAAGCAGCAGGCAGACAGGTGAGAGAAAAGGAGAGGAGAGACCGGAGAGGGGTGGGGGGGAGAGACGGAGACAGAGAGGAGACAGAGAAACTCAGGGAGAAGAGAGTAGGGAGACCCAGAGAGGAGACACAGACCCGAGGAGAGCAAACAGAGACACACACAGTGTGAGACAGAGAGAAAAGAGCCACAGAGGAGCCAGAGAGAGACAGCAAACAGAGAGGGTACGGAGAGAGAGGAGACATACACAGAGAGGAGGCAAACACAGAAAGAGGAGACAGACAGACAGACAGGAGATGAAGAGAAGACAGAGGAGGGACAGCGAAGAGAGACACATAGAGGAGGGACCCAGACGGGAGAGAAGACAGAGAAGAGAGACGGGGAGGAGCAGAGAGGAGAGTCTCAGACACAGACTCAGGATGGAGCCAGAGACAGGAAGGGTCGCAGGAAGACCGAGCGTCCGAGGCCGCAGAGGTCAAGAAGGCTGAGGACGGAGAGAAGACGCCCGGCTCCGACCCGAGGCGCTCTGGACCGAGCAATTTCGGTTTGACCGAAGAGGCCTGAGAGGGAACGATTGTTCAACTGAAGTGAACTGAATGGAAAGGAATTGAAGAATGGAGGAGATGACGGCCATCTCCGAGGGCCGGCAGGGTGGTCTGGGAGAGGTCCCGAGAGAAAGCGTCTCTGGGGAACGAACCCCAGCCGGCTTCCCTTAGGGCCTTGGGCTCCCCAGCCCATAACCCTCCCGAGTAGGCTCGGAGCTACACTCAATTGGCAGGGACCTATAGGATCGAGGCCTCGCCGCCTCGCTCCTCCCTCCCTCTCCGCCTGCCCCTCCTCCCTCTCCCACGCCAGCCCAGTCCGAGGCCTGCACTTTTTGTCCCACGGCAGCCACCGTAGTGGGCGTTGGTGCTTCCTTGGGATGGGGAGACGGAGTGAAGGAAGGAAGGCGGGTTCAGCGAAGCGGGATAGGGATTGGGCCAGGCTCGCGGGGGTGGGCGGAGCCTAGAGGGAGAGGTCAAAGGGCAGTAAATAGTGGTGATGTCAGGCGGGCAAGATGGCGGAAGGGTGAGATCCCTATCCCGGCGCCGGGGCCCAGGGGCGGGCGGGGAGGCTGAGACGGAGGGCGGTGTGTGGAGGCCGGAGGGGGCCAGTTCGTGGCCTCTGGAGGCGAGACGGAGCCGGGCGAGGGGCACCCGGAGGAAGGAGAAGGAGAGAGAGATTAGGGGGGAAGTCATAGCTGGGTTTAACGCCTCCCGTGTGCCCCGCCCACCCCAGGTCCAGGCTCTGCCTGTCCTCCCCCTTTTCCTACAGTATTCCTGTTCCCCCTACCCCTGGAGATATTCATGCCCCCCAACTATTCCTGTCCCCCCAAGGCAGGAGATATTCACCTTCCAACAATTCTTGCCCCCCCCAAGCCCAGGGGAGCTTCAACCCCTCCCCCCAACTATTTTTACCTTCCTCTAAGTCCTGGAGATATTCTTACGTCCCAATATTCCTGATATCCCAGTTCAAGGGCCATTCCCCTCTCAGTACTCCTGTCACCTTAGCTTCAGGAACTATTCATCCCCCCAGTATTCCTGCCTTCCCGTAACCAGAGTATGTCTACCACCCTAGTATTCCTTTCCTCTCCAATTCCAGGAAATTCCTACCCTCAGGTATTCTCCTATTTCTGACCCCATTCCCCAAGTCCATGGAATGTCCACCCCTTGCTAAATCTGTGGAATGGTCGCCCCCCATTTCTATTTCCCTTACCAAGTCCATAGATTCCCCGCCCAGGTGTTCCTGTCCCCCACCAAGACCCATGGAATGTTCACCCCTACGATGTATCTATTTCCCTCTTCCCACACTGTTCCTCTTTCCCAGGCATGGCATATGGAATGTTCCTCTCCTTCGTGTTCTTGTTCTCCCCCTCCAGTGACAGTTCACAAGAACATTTACACCTACAATCAGACTAATTTCTCCCTTAACCAATTCCTGTCTCCCTGTTCCCACTCCAGCTGTTTCCCCCACACTCTGTTTTTGTTTGCCCACACTCCCCCTAAACATCCCCCCTGCCTTACAAATATGAACATCAGGCCCAGGAATGTTTTCCAGGCACCCAGCACCCACAAGCAGCCCCGTACATAACTACTCTCTGGAAACTGCTTCAGTGCCTTTGGAGTGGGGTAGGAAGGGATGGGGTGGGAATTTACTTCTCAAACTTCCTGTTTCCTCCACAGGGAGGATGGAGGCTGGTGGAGAAGCTGGCTGCAGCAGAGCTACCAGGTTGTCAAAGAGAAGGTAAATGGGGACCAGGGTTCCTCATCCTTTCTAGGCCATAATTGTGGAGAGACTTGGACACTCCCTTCTCTATAGGTAGGAAATTCTGGCCTAGTTATATGACATTTGTAGCAGATGTTTATCTAGTGTTTTGAATCCAAAATCTTTCTTGATCCCCACAACAATCCTGTCAGGCAATGTAAGCATTGTTGGCCCCATTTTACAGAAGAAGGAGTCTGAGAAAAGAAGTGACCTGCATATGATAATGTGACTGGTAAATGGCAGGTCTTATGATTCTGCTATGCCAAAGGTAATTAGGTATATGACCATTTCCCTTTTCTGGGCCTCAGTTTCCTCATCTGTAAAATAAGGGGGTAGACTAGGTGTGTGTGTGTGTGGTGGCATCTTCAAGCTCTGACAGTGTGTAATTCTATAAATTATGCAGGGCCCAGTATGATGACCATGTAGTTAGAGAAACAGCATAAAAGTATACTGTGGTGTGTGCCCAACACCCGGTGTTTGACAGAGAAAACAGTAAATACTGCAGGAGGGGAAGATGATGAAGTACTGGGCCAATCATCAAAGGCCTCTTTGAAGAGGTAGAGCTTGAGCTTGTCCTTGAACTTTGGGTGGGCTTCAGATTGGGAAAGAGAAATAAATAAGAGCATTCTAGGCAGGGACATAGCGTGAGCAAAGACAAAAAATCAGCAATACGGCTGGCATGGTCCTGGAATGGTCGGTGGGCCACTCTTTTTGTAGTGGACCACTTTGGTAAAAGAATAGCAGGGAGCAAAGGTTGGATAGGTAGAATTAAAGGATTTAGAGATGGGATTAGACCTTGTAGATCAGCTAGTCTACTGTCTCATTTTACAGAAGCCTAAGGAAGGAAAGAGACTTGCCCAAAGTCACATGACAGGTAGGAAATAGCAGAGCTGAGATGTGAACCTACTTCTCTGACCAGCTGCCTAATGGGACGTAGGTGATTCAGTGGAGTGGATAAGGAAGACCAGAGCTCAGATCTGGCCTCAGACACTTGACTAGCTGTGGGATCCCGGGCAAGTCGCTTAAAGTCTCAGTTTCCTCAATTTAAAATGGGGATTATAGGGGGCAGCTAGGTGGTGCAGTGGATAGAGTACCAGCCCTGGATTCAGGAGGACCTGAATTCAAATCTGGCCTCAAGATACATAACACTTACTAGCTGTGTGACCCTGGGCAAATTACTTAACCCCCATTTCCCAACCAAAAACAAACAAATAAATAAATGAATGAATGAATAAGTAAGCAAGCAAGCAAATAAATAAATAAATAGAAATAGGGATTATAATAGCATCTACCTCACAGGATTGTAATGAGGATCAAATGAGATAATATTTGTAAAGTACCTGGCATATAGTAGGAGCTACATAAATGCTTATTTCCACTTATTGGCACTGCCATGTTATGCTTGGGATGCCAAGTGGTTCAATAATGTGTATACTAATGCCATTCCAAGATAATTTGTCAAAACTGACTTCTGAGTTGACTATGAAGCTAATTACTGTTTACCTAGGCAGGAGACAGGTAAGACCAGTTTTGTTTCTCCAGAACAGGTTTTACTTCCTGGGAGCCTGTAACTCTTAGTTTGATTAAGTCTTGGGAGCATTTGTAATTGGTAAAGCGACCTTTGGCATTGATCCAGACACAGTCCCTGATCCTGTCCTGAGCTATTCCTGTTGGCTCTGGAGGAATGAATGATAGGATTTAACTTATAACAGGGGCCTCTGAGGTGCTTCCTTCCCACTTAAGGGCATTTCCGGAGATTGAATGTGAAAAGCTGTAGGTCATTTCATCCAGCAGCAGGCTAGGGCCTCCTGTAGGAGTAGCACTGTTGGGTTGGTTATTAGCATCTGATGCTATCTCATTTCCCCTGTCCTGAGCACTGTGGGGAGAACAGAGGGAAGACAAGACCTGGTTCTTGTCCTCTGCCCTTGAGGAAGGAGACACCAGGTCCATTTGGGGAGACAGAACGTATCCAGAGGGAAGAGGTCCTAGAAAACAAAGTAAGAACAGAGTGAAAAAAATAAATGAGTAAATAAAAACAAAACAAAACAAAAAATAGAATAGGCTGGATTTGGACAAGAAGATCTCCAGAATCCTTCTGATCTGTGAAACTAATGTAAATTATTATAGCCTTACCTAATTACATACATAATTCCTAAGGGAATGATGGAATAACAGAAATAAGTAGAACTTGTTAGAATTAGTCCTAGAAGGCTTCATGGAGGTTGAGTACATGGAATCTGATTCGAAAAGGAAATATGTAGAAAGAGCTGAAAGGGAGAGCTAGGAGATGAGAGCCTGAGGCATGGCTAAAGGGAAGCCAGAGGCCAGTGTGATGTAGTGGGCAGACTCCCTGGGCTCCTTCCTGGCACTTAGCTTTGCCTGAATAATGTGTGACTTCCTACTAGTCACTTCTTAACAAGCCTGTCCCCTGGCTTTGTGCCCGTGAAGATAATCTTTGCTGTGCCTGCATCGTAATGCTCTTACTCAAATTCTCCAGTGAAGCTGGTTTTATCAATCTGGATATTCCCTCCAGTGATACAACACCCCTCCCTCCTCACCGCCTATCCAGTTGCCCGTCCTATATGACCTTTATGTGTGTCCTTCCATAATAGGACTATTTTAAGGATCAAAATAAAATCATGTATGTGGTTTGATTAGAGCATTGTTTCTGAGGTGGGGTGTTGGATGGTAGAGAGACCTGAGATTCCTGATTGTAGGAATTTGGATTTTGATATGAGCCTAGAATTGTAATCTTTGGAAAATTGCCTGTGATGTCTAAGTTCTAGATTGGAGTTTGGTTAGTGAGCTCAGTATTCAGATGCAGCAGGGCCTGGAGTGTAGCCATTTGGGCTTTGGGGGGAGGAGGATGGAAACAGGGTTGAGGGGAAAGGGAGAGAAAAGTGGAGAGAAAGACCTAAAAGCATAAGAGATGCAGAGGTTGACCCTTGGTTTCCCACTCCCCCCAGTCCACAGAAGCCCTGGAATTCATGAAACGGGACCTAACTGAATTCAGCCAGGTGGTACAGCATGACACAGCGTGTACCATCGCAGCCACTGCCAGTGTGGTCAAAGAAAAGCTGACTGTGAGTATCTTCTTTGTGGGCAGAGCCAACTGCCCACCTCCCACCTGCTGACCCCAAGTGCTTGGGGGAACTCATCGCTCTGTGACCTCAGGACCTGAGACTTCAGGACATTATTTGTTTCCTTGAAGCCATTTGCTTGTTCTCACCCTACTTCATTGTGGCCATATGCCCCTGACTGCTCCTGTTTAACCACACGCCTTTCTCTAGGAAGTGCTTGGTCTTGTTGATAAGATGTTGGGTGTTTGTTTGTTTGTAAGCGAAATCAGTATGGTGTGGAGGAGGACAGTTGGAGAGGCCTGGAAATGTACCTCCACCCCTCCCCCCAAGCAGCTGTGACCACCATTGACCTGGCTTGCCTTGAAGGTGAACCAGTTGCTTGTGATTGGCTAGTTGGAGGCTCTTTCACAAACCCCTTGTCCAACTCTGAGCCATGCATTTCCCATCCCTTGTTCTCTTATGCCCTTTTCTTTCCAGTCTTCGCAGTCCCAGGGTCATCACCAAGCCCCAGCCAGGAGGGGTGACTAGTTCTGAATTGGCTTCCAGTACTCTCACTCCTTCTGTGCCTCCCACACCCAGTTGCGATGTGAGTTTGAACCAAAACACCTCTTTTCCTCCATTGACTTCTCTGCAGACTGAAGGTTCTTCAGGAGCGACAGAGAAGATGAAGAAAGGACTATCTGACTTTCTTGGAGTGATCTCAGACACGTTTGCCCCTTCCCCTGACAAAACCATTGATTGTGACGTCATCACCCTGATGGGCACACCTTCAGGAACCACGGAACTTTATGATAGTGCCAAGGTACGTGTCACATGTGCCCGGGGAACCCCATAGTCAGAGACCCGTCCATACGGAGCCCTGCAGCTAGGCTGTGGGGAGAGAGAGACTGTAGGGAGAGAGACGCAGGAGAAACAAACAGCTGTCTCCCTTTCGGTGTGCCCATAGAAGATGGGGACATCTGACAGCTCTGATGGTGATGGTGATGCCTCCCATTCCCGTGGCCTTTCAAGATTTACAACATGCTTTCCTTACAACCACCCTCAAAGGCAAGGAATAAAGGAATTAATATCCATTTTGCAGATGAAGAAATGACATCTGCCAGAGGTTTAATGACTTGCCAAAGATGGAGACATTGTTACTGACCTTAGGGAGTTCCTGATACGATAGGAAAACAGGCTATACCCTGAAAAAGACCCCAGTGATAGTAATCACTGCTAGCATTTCTATCTTACTTTGGTTTATAAACCGCTTCATGTGAGTGATCTCATTGAATCCCCAGAGCAGCAGTGGGAGGGAGGTACTCCTACCTCAGTGTATTGGTGATGGCTCAGGGGTCAGCCCTCCCTCCATCAAGGAAGACCACAGCTCATCCTGGGCATTTCCTGTCCTCCATGGCTTCCTGTGGATCTTCCCCAGAGGACACACCCAACATGCCAGGGTCCCTCCTCCAGACCAGAGGTTGGCAGACTATAGCTAGCTGGATTTAGCCCATGAGCTAAGAATGTTTTTACATGTTTAAATTCAGCAAAACCATTCTTAGCTCCCTGGCTGCACAGAAACAGGTGGCCATCAGTTGTAGGTTGCCAAGTACTTATTTAACTGATAAGGAAACTGAGTCTCAGAGAAATGAAATGGGTTCCCCAAGGCCACATAGCTGGCAAGCAGGGGGCCTGGATTCACCTTAACATGCCAGATAGGAGTCCGCTTCTTCTTCTCTTACATTAAGCTGTCTCTCCTTCATCCCCTGTATCTAGTCACTCTCATGGTCGCCCCTCCAGTAGAAGCCCTGAAGACCACTTCTCTGGGCGATTGTAATAACCTGCCACTTGATGTTCCTGCCGCTAAACTCTTCCGTTTTGTCCGCACGTACGAGTCGAGTTGTCTCCTTAAAACGCTGACCCCATTTCCTACCAAAAAAATCTAGCATCCTCATGCTGCCTTCAAGACCTTCTGTTATCTAGTCCCAATCCACCTGTCTGACAGTATCACTCATCTCCCAAGAGAAGGCTTCTGCTCTAACCAAGCTGGCCTTTGGAATTCCTTGTTGTATCTCAGCTCTGAGCTTTGGCCCAGGCTGTCTCGCCCTACCACACCCCATCCCACGGCCCTGCTCTGTCTGTGCTGCAAAGCTGGCCTCGCCTTCGGGGCCCAAGCCAAGGCCTACCCCTGCCAGAGCCGCCACTGCCCTTTCCCTTTTCTGACTACAAAGCAGCTGGTTTGGGCCCTTTCAGCTCATGCTGTGTCACGTTGCTACTCGGCAGTCTCAGTCATGCTGCTCCTGACCCGGCGAGACCATAAACAATAGGTGGCAGGAACTGTGTCCTACCAAGAGGTAGCGTGTTGTATGTAGAAGGAGCCCTAGACTTGGGAATCAAGAGCCCTGCTTCTAGCTGCCCGGGTTGGGCAAGTCACTGTTCTCTGGGCCTCAGTGGCTTCCACTCTAAAGTAAGAGGGCTAGAGTGTCCCTTCCAGCTCATAGAGGCGATGGCTCTTTGAGTCTGTGCTTCCGTCTCCCAGTTTCCCCTACAGTGGAAGGCCCTCAACATCTAGGGACTAAAGGAGCAGCTGAATGCAGCTTTGGGGAATTGGTTAAGTTTTCATTTGCATACTAATCACAGAGAAAAAGCTTTGAATAATTCAGAATTGCACAGATGTAGTTTGGCAGTGTGTTTTTTCTTTATTTATTGTTAGCGTGTTTCATAGAGCCATATGTTTAAACCTGGAAGAGACTTTTAGAAGTGAGGAAACTGAGGCAGACAGCCCAGGTTCACACAGCTAGTAAATATCTGAGTCAGTATCTGAATTTGGGTCTTTGTGACACGGATGCTGTGTCATCTGGCTGCCTCCTGGCGACTTTTTAGAATAAAATACTTCCTGCACTGATCGTGATTCCAGTAGCTCTTCATTCCTTGAAAGATAAAAATCCAAATCCTTTATCCTGCCGTTCAGGTTCGATTCAGTTTCTGAGGACATACTGGGACAGACAACCTGGTAGCATGCTAGGACCAGAGCTCCTTCACCAGGGGTGGGGCACCTGCGGCCTCAAGGCCACATGTGGCCTTCTAGGTCCTCGGGTGCAGCCTTTTGACCAAATCCAAGTTTTGCAGAATAAATCCTTTTATTAAGGGGATTTGTTCTGTGAGGTTTGGATGCAGTCTGGAGTCTATAGGCTAAACCAAATCAAGGGCAGTGGCTCTGGCCCATTGCTGTGTATATGTTTCCATCCCCTCCCCTGCTCAGTGCGTTATTAGGCAGTCAGTGACTTGAGGACGTAACTTGTGGGAGTGATGGCTCTCCAGCTTGTCACTAAAAATTCCCCAAGGCTCATGTACTTGAAAATCAGTCCTTAAGGGGCAGCTAGGTGGCATAGTGGATAGAGCTCTGGCCTGGGAGTCAGGAGGACCTGAGTTCAAATTCAGCCTCAGACACTTGACACTTACTAGCTGTGTGACCCTAGGCAAGTCACTTAACCTCAATTGCCTCATCAGAAAAAAAGAAAAAAAAATCAGTCCTAAGTCGCTCCCCGTCTTCAGCTTAACCTCTCTGAGGCTTACTTTCTTCATTTGTAACATAGGGATAATAATTCTGGTGTAACCCATGTAAAGACTTTCATTACTTCAAAGCTGTATGATTTCACTGGTGTGGGGTCTCCTGATGCAGATCACAGAGCCTCCATACCTTGGTCAAGGATCTTCGTGAATCTCTGGCTGAGTGAGATTCAGCCCCTGCTGACCAGTTTATCCTTTGATGGCTGCCCGAGCCTGTGACCAGACCCTTCCTGAAGCCTGGGCGGCCTCATGGCACTGCCTCCTGAGCCAGTCAGAGGCACGCAGGTTCTCAACTTGGATGATGGGCTGGGCTTGAGCAGCTTGGGCTGGCTCCTGGGCAGCCTTCAGAACCGGTCGAGGCCATTATCCAGGTGCTGTCAGATGTGCTGCCTATCACACAGCGCAAAGTGCCTTTCCACAGCAGCCTTGGGAGATGAGCAATGGGGGCAGCACTATTCCCATCCCCATTTCTCAGATAAGGGAGCTGAGGCTCCAAGAGGTGAAGGGACTTACCCAAGGTGCTGCCCGGACTCAAGGCCTTCCAGCCCCCAGGGGAAAAGGGCGGATCTGCCTCACTCCACAGCCTTCCACGCTGACCTGGGGCCTCCCTTGGGAGCCAGGGAAAGCCTGCCAGAACTCTCTCGTGTACTTGGTGAAGAATGGAGTATATGCCTCCTGAATGATGGGCTTCCAGAGGGAGCAGGAGGCAGACAGGCCCAGTGATTGGGGGACTGCTTCCTCCACAGGCGGGGCCCTGGGGAGGTGGGAGGGATCAGCCCGCTCCCCTCAGAGGCCTGTCTCACACTCTGTCTCTGTGCTTCTTTGTGTGTCTTGTGCCAGGCTCGTCTGTACAGCCTGCAGTCAGACCCAGCGACGTACTGCAATGAGCCCGATGGTAAGTGAAATGTGAGGGGGGCATGGAAGCCACAGGCTCTCCCATGCCCTAGCCTGTGGGGGTGTATAGGGATGGAGGAGCCAGGGTGCCGGATGGACTGGCTTCCTGTGCCATGCCGGTGACCAGCTTTGCTGCTGCCAGTAGTGTTTTGTGGCCCTGCTCACTGCCCTGGAGCCCTCCATCAGAGAGTCCAGAAGGGACCCAGAGCAGTGGGGCAGGGTGAAAAGAGCAGTGAACCTCAGTTTGGATCCTTGCTCAGTCTTTTGCTATCCTTGTGACCTTTTACAAGTCATTTACCTTCTCTGGGCCTCAGTTTGCTCATTTCTAAGAATGTAGACTAGATGACCTCTCAGGTGCTGGTGCCTTCTCACTCCTATAACCCTAGAGGTCATGTGAGCCAGCCCCCTCGTTTTGTAGAGGCGGGAATCCCCATTAAAGCACCACCCCCTTCAGGAAACTGACTGCATTTCCTTCTCTTCCTGTTTCGCCCCTACCTCCATGAACAATAAAGCCCTTTTTTGACCTCTTCTAGCCTCCTTTGTTTGCAGCTCTCTGATATACTTAGCATCTAATCCTATGTAATGTCTGAGTCTGTCTCCTTACTTTACTGAAGGAGATCTTTAGTAAAGTATATGCTCTATGAGGACACAAACTCTTCCCAAACTTTGTATCTTCCCCAATCCTTGGCACAGTTTTCTACACCTAGAGGGCACTTAGTTACATTTGTCATGTCATGTTGTGTTATATCATCCTGTGCTGTATATCTGTCCCTTTGCAGGGCCTCCAGAGCTGTTTGACACCTGGCTATCTCAGTTCCATTTGGAGGAAAAGAAGGAAGAGATCTCCAGTCTGCTCATCAGCAGCCCCTCCATCCGGGCTCTCTATACCAAGATGGTGAGGAGCCCTTTGGGCTAGGACTGAGCATGGCCAGCCCAATGTTAGAGGCTCCTGGGCAGTTACTAGCAGAGCTAGCTGATCAGGTGTCAGGGAACCAGGGGGGCAAGGGGTGACTCAAACCAAAGTGCAGAACCATTATGAGCAAGATTGAGTCTCTTGCCTTTCATCCATTCAGCAAACATTCAGCCCCTGTGTCCAGAGAGACTTGTTCTAGGTGTCAGGGGAGTCACAAAACGCAGGCCAGATACAGACCCTCTTCTCCTGGAGCTCACAATCTAGTACAGGGACCTATGGTTCACAGTATTGGGTGAGTGCATTCAGGAGTGTAAAACACAGTGAAGTCCCAGAGCGGCAGTGAAGAGGGGGGATCAAGGAAGGCTTCATGGAGAAGGCAGCGTTTGAATTGGGCTTCAAACATCCTGCAGGCATTCAAAGGTGAGGAGGAAAGTATAGGGCATGTTGTGGGGAGAGTGAATCATCCAGTTTTAGCTCCATTGCCCATCTTTGACATCAATGTTTTATGCCCCCTGAGTGCACTTTTACATGAGGTAAAGCTGGAAGTGGAACAATAAGCATATGTTGAAAGCTAAGGTGTGCTGTACTTTAGAGGAACTTAAATATCAGATGTGGGGTTTTGAACTTGACTCCCTGAGAACTAGGGTGCCAATGAAGGTGTGTGAGCGGAGGGGTAACACAGTCTGGTATTTATGACAATGCCTGATTGGGAGCAAAAGGATTCCTCCAAGGGCCCGATGAAATTTTTTCTCTCCAAACAAAATGTTTGAGGGGTTCCACATTGTTTTAAACCTTGCTGGCAGGTACTGCTTGGTACAGACCAATTGGTAAGCCCTAAAGAATCTTGGCACTTCTTGAAGGCAGCCTCTTCCCCTGTGGTATACACAGACTTTCACATTTCTCCAGGTCCCAGCAGCTGTTTCCCACTCAGAATTTTGGCACCGATACTTCTACAGGCTCCACCACTTAGAACAGGTATGCCTGTCCCTGCCTGCAAAGGGTGGTGGACAGAGTGTTGATGGGGTAGGGGGAGTGGAAGAAGGGGCTTGGGGGAAAGCATCTTGACCCCATCTGTCTCTTCTTTTTCTCTAGGAAGAGGCCCGGAGGGATGCTCTGAAGCAACGAGCAGAACAAAGTGTTTCTGAGGAACCAGGCTGGGAGGAAGAGGAAGGTAAGTGAGGAAGGGCTGTTTGGCCAAATGTGCCACCTATCCGTAGTCACACAGACTGCTAGGAATTTTGCTATACTGAGGTTCTGTCATTCATTCATTCATTCATTCATGAATATACCAGTGGTGTGAAGAGCGGTGAGTTATATATAAATTTTAGATGAGGTGTGATCCCTAGCCTCAAGGGGCTTACATTTCAATAGGAGACAAGTATATATGTGATGAGACACTACATGATAAATGTATTTTTGAGGTGCCAAGTGCTGTTTGAGGTCTGAGGGCCAAATCTGTTACTGACTTCCTGGAGGAAACTGCGTTGGAGTTTGGCTTTAAAGAATATATAGCAATTAGCAGGTGAAGAAGAGAATGAACAGCTTCTCAGGAAGCTCTACTAGAAGAAGTATTATTAGAACAGTTGTTACCTCTGATGTCTGCCGTAATCCATGCTGGGCTTGTGTTAGGCATATGTTGGGACCCTCTTCTGTCACAACGTTAACCCCTTTTTTCCCCTTTCCCCATTCCCCCACAGAGGGACTCTCAGTAACATCTCAACTGAATGTGCAGTCCCAAGAAGAGGAAAAAGCTGCTATGCCGGGCTCTGCCCCAACTTCTGAGGTCTGGCCAGCCATCCTCAGAGTCCTTCTGAGGAGAGTTTGGGAATTGTGGCTCCACCCTCAGCAGAGGTCACCCCATCGGAGAGTAGCGAGAGTGTCTCACTTGTGACCCAGGTCGTCAATCCCGCTTTTACACCTGAAGCCCCAGCACTGGTGCAGACAGCCTCTTCTAAGGACCTCTCCCAAAAGCTTTTGGAAGCGACATTGGAAGACCAGGTTCCCCCAGCTGATGCAGGAGAGACGGGCCCACCTCCTGTGGAACGGCCCAAGCCTTCAATCCCCAGTGGGCGTCCGAGCAGCTCTGAACCCAAGCCAGGGATCAGAGTAGAGACTCTGAGAGAGGAGGGACCAACAGACTTACGGGTGTTTGAATTGAACTCGGACAGTGGAAAGTCCACACCTTCCAACAATGGCAAGAAAGGTGGGTCTTAAAGGCTGGAGCCTAGGAGGGAGTTGGCGGGGCAGAGGGAGTTGGGAGTGTCCTTGAAACATACAGACCCATCCTCCTTTATTCTGGTCAGGTTCTTAGGGGCAGATCCCAGCTGCCTCTTTCTTACTGACTTTTGGCCAGTTCTCACTGACCCTGGGCTGGAAGCAGTGATTTGGGAGCACTTGTAATGGCAGTGTTATCAACTGAGGTGACACCATTGTAATGCTGGTATTAAAGGATAAGGTGAAGAAAGAAAAGGACTTAGCCAGGAGTCGCCAGATCTCATGGTGTATTCATCTGGTGCTAAACAGTCCATGTAGGGGATCCGAGTCAGAACCAGGAGCTTCCAGGGCAGCTGAGAAGGCCAAAGTCTGTCTGTCTGTCTGTCTGTCTATCTGTCTTTCTCTCCCGACACACACACACACACACACACACACACACACACACACACGAGAGTTAATGTGTGTATTATTCTAAATGGTACCCTTTAGTCTCTCATCACTCCCTAGTAGTACAACAGAAGTTAAATCCCTGTCAGCTCTAAATCCTAACATGCTAAGTTCATAGAAGGAAGAGATAATGTGGGAGTGAGAGTAATCATAACTCACATTTTGATAGCAATATAAGAATAATTGGGGAAGAATTCCTGGAGGGGTGAGGCTTGAGCTTTAAGAGTAGTGTAATTTGTCGAGAAGGGCCAAAGGTATTCTAGGCCAGAGGAATGTCCTGAGACAGAGAAACTGGGGTGGGGTGGGGAAGGGGATGCTGAAGGCCACATGTGGTAGAACAGTGAAACTGTCCAGGAAAGCCGATAGCAAGCTAGAGGGGAAAGGACACTAGCCTAGGAGACAGAAGGCCAGGGCTCCAGCCACATATCTGGCACTGACTTAATAGGGGACTAGTCCCCTTTATAAGTCTGTTTTCTTTTGTGGAAACTGAGAGTGTTGAGCTGTGGATCATAGGACTTCAGACTTGGGAGTGACCTTGATAACTATCTTAGCCACTCCTGGCTGAAAAAGGCTTTCCCTACAGCATACACAAGTGGTCATCCATGCATGATTGAAGACCTCGTATGAGGTTCCCTAAGCAGCCCAGCCCAGCCCAGCCTACTTTTGGATCAGTCTTAGAATTAAGTTCTTTGAACCTCAGTTTTCCACTTTGCAATTTCTTTTCATAGTTCCTAGTCTACCTCCTAATGGGATAATGTATTATAAGCACTTTGCAGACTTTAAAGCCCTATGTAAATGCCTAGTGATCGTTATTTTTAGTATTGTTGTTATTATTATTACCTTCTGGGAGGTGATGGTCCTTCAGATATTTGAAGACAGCTATCATGTCTGCAGAAGAGATCTTCTCTTCCTCAAGCTAAACATCCTGAAGGAATGAACTTGTGGCAGCTAGGTGGTGCAGTGGATAGAGCACCTGCCCTGGAGTCAGAAGGACCTGAGTTCAAATCCAGACTTAGACACTTAACTAGCTGCATGACCCTGGGCAAGTCACTTAACCCTGATTTCCTCAAAAAAAAAGAAAGGAAATTAACTCAAGGCACCCCACCTTGGCTACTCCTTCTGGTTGCTTTTCTTTCTGAAACGTGGCCGGAACAGAATACAGAATTATAGATATGGCTGCCTAGGGCAGAGTGAAGGGGGCAAGGGGATTACCCCCTTCCTCATTCCTGAGATGAGCCTTCTTGGCCACCTTCCTTCTCAGAGCTTTGTGAAGTTCTGGGAGCCTTGGCAGGCGTTCAGGCAGTAAGCATTTAGGTGTCTTCTGTGTGCCAGGAACTGTGCTATGTGCTGGGGATACAATGACATGCAAAAAGAATGAGAATCCCTGCCATCAGGGAGCTTCTATTTGGGGGTGGGGGGGTGGGCAGGGAGACTTGGTGGGTCTGGCTGAGTCAGCAGCACAGCCAGGATGGGGAGGAAGCAAGGCCAGCCTGGGCCCATCCCCTTACTGCAGGGTGGACGCCAGGGAGCAGTTAGAAAGGAAGCGGGAGTCAGGGCCAGATTTTGGAAAGCTTTGACTGCCAGGCTAAGAAGCCTGGCTGCTAGAGAGCAAAGGCTTGACTTGTTTCTATGGGCATTCGAAGAAGAGTGTTCTTGGGGTTGCTGACGGGAGATCGGAGGCAAGGAGAACATGAGATGATGATGAAGGTAGGCTCAGTGGTAGTGTGGGAGTGGGAAGGAGAGTTCTCTGAGGTTGTTTTGGAGAGATGTGGGCAGGAAGGGCGGAGTTGGAGGTGGTGACACGGTGGAGCCATTTGAAATGGCTTAGCCTGAGCCCTCTCCATCCCAAGCCTCAGCAGGCACTCAGAAACTGGCCCCTCAGACAGGATGGCTGGGTCTTCTCCTGCATCTCGGCATCAGCTCATTGACTGCGTCACTGACTCAGGGTGTCCCCATAGGGAAGCCACTTCAGTTTCTTCTGTAGAATAGGTGTGAGGAGATCTGCCTTTTTAATTGCAACCCCATCCCCATGCGCACAAGAGTGTAGCAGCTGCTGGGTGGCACCAGAGGACACAGCACTGGGCCTGGAGTCAGGAAGACCTAAGCAAATTTGGCTTCAGACCCTTACTAGCTGTGTGACCCTGAGTAGGTCACATCTGCCTGCCTCAGTTTCCTCATCTCTACAATGGGGATAATAATAGCACTTACCTCCCAGGGTCGTTGTGAACATCAGATGACACATTTGTAAACAGATCAGCACAGTGCCCGACACTTAGTGTGGGTCCTATAGAAATGCTTATTCCCTTTCCCCCACTAAGAGTGTGTTGTTTCCCTAGCCTACCCTTATTTCTGTCTCGAGGCTCATGAGATTACTGCCTTTACTTATTCCCCTGTGGATTGTGTGAGTGATGAGGCAGATTGACACCATGGATTTGGTGTCAGGAGATCTGGATCTGAATTCTGATGACCATTTGCTAACATTAAGCAAATTAATTCACTTCTCAGAGGTTCAGTTTTTTATCAGAAAAACCAGAGTCTTGAAGTTAATGAAGGTTCTGTCTAGCCCTGAGTCTTTGATGATCCTGTGATAAAGACCTCTCAAAATCCTTTCCAGCTCTGATATTCAACAAACATTAAGTAACGTCTGTGTGTGAGGCCTAGTGGATACAAACATAGCAAACACCTGCCCAGCTCTTAGGGAACCTGCAGTCTGATGAAAGACCAGTGCCCAGGTGACTCTAATTGAAGGGAGTGTAACTAGAGACTGAAGCAAACTACTTGGAGAAATTGCTCAAGGGAGAGAGGCTGCCTTCACTTTTGAGTGGGGAGATGGCATCGTGGCTGGGCCTGGGAGGGAAGGCAGAGGAAAGTCCATTGGAGGCAGAGTGAGAACTCGGGCAGGACAGAGCTGATTTGGCTAGAACACAGAGGGCACCAAGAGAGGATAGAACTGCACGGGGAAGCTGCAGCCACCTCCTGGGGAGCCTTGAAGGCAGGTCAGGAGGTGAGGCTTTATTCAGCAGATAACAAGGAGCCGAAGGGGTGCTGAGCAAAGGATCAGTGTATTTGGAAGATTCCTCTGCAGTAATGTGAAGGATAGATGGAGGAAGGGCCCAGAAAATAAGTTCTTTGAGGGCAGGCACCGTGCTTTTTAGCTTGGTATCTTAAGCACAAGGCCTTGGCTGTCAAAGCAAAAACCCACTTCCCACTTCCTCATATCCATCGTCCTCTTCAGCCCTGTCTTTCTCTGGGCCCTTTTTTCTTCTGCCCTTACCTTCCATGACACCCTGTGGAATTTCCCTTCTCTCATTAGAAACTTCCCTTTATCCTAGACTTTTCCTCTTCATCCTAGACCTTTTCCTTTCATGTGACTTACATTTTGCAATCCTGGAAAGCTGGTTCTTTTCAGAAGACACTAAATCCCTGACCACCCTCAGCTGCATATGTGCTTCTTGTCTCACGTGCACCCAGACAGATGAGGGACACACGGCCACTCTATCTGTGTCAGAGAGTGGCTGCGTGCCAGTCTGTTGGCATAACGTGCCAGATTTGTGTTACGTAATTGTAACTGGGCCCCCACTGCTCCTTGGTAATCTTTTTGTCCTGCCTCGATTCACTCACTCCCGAAGGTGGATTCTCCAGACCTTTTCTCTTCTCCTCAAGACCCTCATTTGGTCCATTCTCTTTGCTCCCTGCAGGCCTCAACTCCTGCCTTGCTGACACAACGGAAGCACCAGCTTGACATTTCTTCCCATTTCCCACTGCCATGTCTTTTTTCAGGCTCTTCTCTTACCTGAAATGCTCTCCCGCTTCCCCTCTGGCCCTTAGACTCCTAAGCTCCTTTGAGGGGTTCAGATGCCTCCTCTTCCTCAGAGCCTTTCCCCTTAGCCGTTTGTGCTCTCTCTCACCCCTCCTCAAGTGGTCAGTGGTTTATTTAGTTGTAGTAAGTTGTTGTCTCACCTTCTGTAAAAGGGAAGGATCCTGGGGGGCAGGGACTGCTTTTCACTTTGTCTTTGTGTCTCCTGCCTAACACAGAGACTGGCACATAGTGGGCAGATTAGTAAATGCTTGTTTGAATTAATGGACTCCCCTTTTCTCTGCCTTTTCTTCCCCACTGAAGACCTCAGAGCCTCTTGACCTTGTTCAGCTCTCTTCTTTCTGGGATTCAGCCAAGGCTGGTACTTGGGCCCTTGATCCTGTTTCCTTGGAGTCTCTCATCTTTAATCTCTCCCTATTTCCTGACACTTTCCCTGCTGGCTGCAAACACATCTAAGTCTCCCCTGTCCATTCAGAATCCTTAAACTGCTGGCTTTTTTTCCTTTTACTGCCAGACTCCTAGGGGAAAAAAAAGAAAACCACCTCCCCTTGTAGCCACTTGTTCAGCTCCTGCTCACTCTTTCTCAACCCCTGGCCTCCAGCCCTACTCTTCACCTGAAAGTGCTCTCTCCAGAGTTACCAGTGATCATGATGATTATTGAATGCAGTGGCCTTTTCTCAATTCTCCTTCTGTTTGGCCTTGGTGTATCTCTTGATAGCAGGCATCTATTAAACACTTACTATGTGCCCGGCACTGTGTTAAGCACTGAGGATATAAAGACAAAAACAATCCCTCCCCTCCAGTAGGTCACATTCTTTTTTGTTGTTGTTGTTAGGCAGTGGGGTTAAGTGACCTGCCCAGGGTCACCCAGCTACTAAATGTTATGTGTCTGAGGCCGGACTTGAACTCGGGTCCTCCTGAGTCCAGCACCGGTGCTCTATCCACTGCGCCATCTAGCTGCCCCTGTAGGTCCCATTCTTAAGAGGCAGGCCTGTGTGACTTGATGAAAGGTAATCCCAGAGGAAAGACACTAATAATACCCAGCACTTCTATAGTACTTTAATATTTGCATAGTGCTGCACAAATACCTCATTGGATCTTCACAACACCTCTGGGAAGGAGGTGCTATCATTATCTCCATTTTGCAGCTTTCTGATGCTGGTGACTTGCCCAGGGTCACACAGCTAGTAACCATCGGAGGCAGGATTTGACCTTGGGTCTTCCTGATTCCAAAGTCCCCTGTGCCCCTGGTAGCTAGGGGAAACCAGGAAAGGCTTCTTCCAGAATATGGAATTTGAGCTGCCTTGGGCAGGGAAGCCAGGAGTTAGGGGGTAAGGCATGGGGACACGTGAAAAGGCATGGAGTCCAGTCATAGTGTACTTTTGGAGGAATGGCAAGAAGGCCTGTATGGTCTCCTATGGATTGTAGAGAATGGAGAGAGACGACATCTAAGAAGACAAGAAGAGTAGGAAGAGGCCAGCTTATAGGGCTTTAAGTGTCAAATGGAAGAGTTTATATTTTATCCTGGAGGTAGGGAGTCATTGGAACTGACTGAGTGGTATGGCCAGCCCCATACTTTAGAAAAATCGCTCTTGAAGCTAAGTGAAGAATGGATTGGCATGAGGAAAGACTTAAGACAGGGAAACCAATTAGAAAGCTATTATGATAATCCAGGAAAGAGATGATAAGGGCCTGAACTTTTGTGAAGACTCAATAGAGAGAAGGGGGTGTTGGAAAGGTGGAAATGATCCAGATCTTATCTTGGACATGTTGAGTTTGAGATGCCTATTGGATATCCACTTTGAGCTGTCCAGAAAGGCTAACACGGGACCCCCCAAAGCTCAGGATGTAGGCTGGAGAGAGGGGAGGAACCAGGGGAGAGCAGCGTCCCAAGCACCCCTCTCCTCCTGGATGGTCTCTGCCTTGTAGTATTATTCTCCTGGTTATTGTCTTACCTCTCTGAGTGCTCCTCAGTCTCCTGGAATGACTCACCCGCCACCTCCTGCCCACTAATCATAGGTGTTCTCCAAGGTTGTGCCCTGGGCTCTCCTCTTTCTCTCTCCTTTCTCTTAGTGACTCTATCCTCTCCAGTGGACTTCATTATCATCTCTTTACAGATGACTCCCAGATCTCCTAAATGCAGCCAGAGTGATAGCCCTGCATCACCTGCTGGACATTTCCTTGGTGTCCCACTAGTATTGGAAACTCAGAATGTCCCAAAACAGAGCTCGCTCTCTTCTCCCACTCAGCCTGTCCTCCTGCATCTTCCTCCAGAAACGACCCTCCTCCTCCTCCCCCAGCTTCACATCCCAGCAGTCAGTCCAAACCCTTCACTCCCCTTGCTCCCTGTAACATTCAGCTGCCAACCCCCTTGTCAGTTCTGTCTCCATGCCCTCTCTGTAATCCATGCCCATCCGGTCGCTGTTTGTCTTCTGATTTTGCTTCTTGCCTGGACTGCTGCAGTAGCCTGACAACTGGTGTCTGCCTCCCTACCATTCATCTCCATAGCTGCCAAAGTCATCTCAAAGCATGATCCTGCCGCAAGCTTGGAGTCAGAGGATCAGCTGTGAGGCTAGAAGGGATCCAGGAGGTCATCGAGTCCAGCTTCCTTATTCAAAAATGATGGAGCTGTGGCCTAGTCGTGGAGCTGAGGAAATGTCAGAGGCAGGATTGGAACCCATGTCCTCTGACTCCAGAGCAAATGCTTGTTCCATTAAAGGACTTAGATTTTAATCCTGGCTTTGCTACTTACTACCTGTAGGACTTTGGCAACTTACTTACTTAACTTCTCTGGCCCTCAGTTTCCTAATTGACAAATGAAGAATCCCTTCATCTTTGGGACCCTTTTCAGCTCTGCATCTGTGATCACCCTTCTGTTCAAAAACATGTACTAGCTGGCTCCCTGTTGCCTCTGGAATAACATTCGAAGCCTGCCATTGTCTGACTCCTGCTCGCTTCTCCATCTTTTTTTTTTTTCACGTGACCTCCCTTCACATCACATTCAACTCAGATGACAATCTGTGGTCACCCAAGCATGGTGTCATTGCACCTTCCATCTCATGGCTTTATGTGGCTGTCTTCCTGCCTGCAGTGCATGTCCTCCTCACTTTGACTTCTTAGAAGCCCTAAATTCTAAGTGATTCCTCTTTTTTTTTTTTAAAGGCAATTACAGTTAAGTGACTTGCCCAGGGTCACACAGCTAGTGTTAAGTGTTTGGCCTGAGGCTGGATTTGAACTCTGGTCCTCCTGGCTTCAGGGCTGGTGCTGTAACCACTGCACCACCTAGCTGCCCCACCTAGCTGCCCCTAAGTGATTCCTCTTGCTCCAAGGTTTTTCTTATCTTCCTCACTCCCAAGTGAATTCTTTGCTAGTCCCTGAAATTGCTACAACTTTATCCATATTCAGATTACCTTGTATTTACTTTTAAATGTTCATTTTATGTGTTTTCCAATAGAATGTAACCCCCTTGAGGGCAGGACTGGTTTGGGGTTTTGTCTTTGTACAACCAATGCCTAGCACCATGATTTATGCTTAATAGGTATTTTCACATGTTTTGAGTTATATGGACTGGAGGCTGGAGGATTCGTTAGGAGGGTGTTATGGTTGAGGCCATAGAGGACATGAACATTCCAAGCCATTCTGCCATTCCCCGTGTGAGGACAACCCCCAAATCTCCTGCTTCCTGTAGAATCTCCTATACATAGCCTGCAGGCCCTGCCAGTCGTGCAGCTGTAAATGTGAGAAGATGGCATAGCTAGCCCACCCAGGGCAAAAGTCAGACTCCTGATAAAGAGAGCCAGGCTACCAGGCACATGTCGTGGAATGCAGAGAATGCTGGGGAGGAATCAAGAGGTTTCCCCCTACTCCCTACCTGTTCCCCCCGGCCCCTTCCTGGCAGGTGGGAAGTCCAGCCTCGAGACTGACTTGCTCTGTGATCCTTTTCTGGATCCCCCTCATCTCTTAGTACCTTCCCTGTATAGTCAAATCATGTAGCAGGTAAATGCTTTGCAAACCTTAAAGCATTAGGTAAATGCTAACTATTACGATTACAATAATAGGTTTAGATCTGTAACTTCAGCTCCAGACCTTCCCATATTCTTATCACATATTTCCAACTGCCTGCTAGGCATATGGAATCTGGAGAAGAGAAGGCTGTGGTAAGATAAAAGTATTTGAAGGGATGTCATGGGGAAGAGAGATGAGACGTGTTCTGGTTGGCTCCAGAAACCAGGACTAGGAGCACATGAAGGAAGCTGGACAGAGGTGAGTTTCAGTCTGGTGTAAAGAACAGTTAGAGGTGTCCAGAGTGAGATAGTGAGTGCCCCATCACTGTCCTTGTCAGGGATATCACATGGGCTGGACTAGATACGAGATGGTCTCTGAGTTTTTTTCCTCCTCTGATGAAATGGGCCCCACGATCCCTTTTTAGCCCCACATCTCTGATTCTACATGTATCTTGCACAGGAGTGAGTGATCTTACCTATATATTTGATGCTTGGTATTTAGAACTGCAAAGCACCTTAGCGACCATGTTGTCTAAAAGTGTTGTTGATTGTCAGACACTATCTGATGTCCCCAATCCCCCTCCCCCCGATATAGGTGGTCAGAAAGAATAACATTGAGAATGATAACTGAGGTATAGCACTCCAAAATTTGCAAAAGGCTTTGCATCCATTATGTCATTTGAGGCTCACGCCCACCCTGTGAGATAAGTGCTACAGATGCTGTCATTCCCATTTTGCAAACCAAGAAATAGGCTGAGACAGATTGTGTAATTTACCCCAGGTCACATTTCTGGTAATTATCTGAGGTGGGATTCAGAGCCAGGTTCTCCTGACTCCAAGCTCAGTGCACTAGCCGCTCTGCTAGCTTCCTCTTTGAGCCCCTGGGACCCTTACTACAGAGATGGAAGGACGGCCTCTGACCCATTGGCTGGGAGCAGCTAAGGGATGCATCCCCCCGGAGATCTCACAGTCCTGGAAGTCTCCAGTTGAAAGGGATAGGTTCTAGGAAATGGAGACGTTTGTGGCTGTGCTGGGGTCGTGGGGCAAATTTGAGCTCCCTTTTGGATGTGCTTTAGCCCCAAGCCTTCTCCATGCCTTTGGTTTGGTCCTAGGTTCCAGTACTGACATCAGTGAAGACTGGGAGAAGGACTTTGATCTGGACATGACTGAGGAGGAGGTGCAGCTAGCTCTGTCCAAAGTTGACGGATCTGGAGAGGTGAGGCTGTGCTAGCTGGGGAAGGGCCCTCCAGGAAAAGCCCCCCATCTCCTCTTCCAGTGTCTGAGGTGTTTTGGCAGCAGCTTCCTCTTCTCCCTTCCCTGCCCCCAACACTGACTGTCCTGGGGCTAAGAGAACATGAGACATCTCCTTATCCATCACTAGGAAGGCAGCTACAATGCTGAAGGCCACCCGTGAGTCAGCCACCCTCCTCTCCCCAGGAGGCATTAGTCCCTTCATTGGGTCATTCAGTGAGCAGCCGTCTGTGCCCAGCAGGAAGGAAGAGCACTGAGCTTTCCCTCACTCATCCCAGGGAGGTGAACGTGGTTGACACCGGGAGATCAATAAGAAGGAAAGGGTAGTCAATCTAGTGGGGCTCTGTGGCAGAAGGATACATAGGAGAGGGACCGTCCAGTATCAGGCAGACAGAGTCAGCTGATAGACCTAAGTCAGGCAACTCTGTGTCCCCCACGCTCCCAGTGAGAATGTTACCACCCCATGGGGTCAGCCATGCTTGCTGATCTTTAGTTGTCCCTGGTTTCTTCAGATGCCAGTGTAAGCCAAGAGGGCCCATAGGCGTGCTCATCAGCCCTTTGGCAGTTGGGTGATTTGGGGAAAGCTTGGAGTTGAAAAGTAAATACAAATGTCTGTTTTTTTGATCTTCCCCTCCCTCACTCTCATTTGCAGCTGGAAGATGTGGAGTGGGAGGACTGGGAATGAGGCAGGAGGGCTTGGAGAGAACAGCTCCTCCACACAGGCCTCCACCTCCCTTCTCAGCCTGGTCCTGGACGGCACCATGGACGCCCGTCTGTCACCCAATGCTGTCTGTTCCATCTTCTGAGTACACCCAATGCCCCTCTCCTGGAGAGAAGTCTCTTCAAGGCCAGACAGTGTCATGTGACCTGTGCCAATTCTTGGATTGGGGGGAGGGGAATCCTACCACCACCACCTTTGAAGAGCCCTATTTCTCTGCTGTAAATCCACTGCCCTCAGGCAGTACCTGCAGTGGCCTCCTGTCCATCTACCTGCTTGTGTATGTGGAAGCTAAACCTAGCCCCAGTGGTGCCCTTTGCTCACCTGTTGTCCCCTCCGTGTCCTGTCTTTCAGCTAAAAGAAGGGAGGGAACAGCTTGTGAAAGCCCCTTTCCTGCCTTAGCACCATTTCCTTCTTTTCTCCCTTGTGTCTTTCCCCACCCTACCATAGGTGGCCTTCTTTGTCTGACTCTACTGGCTGGGGGAGTGAAGGATGACATACATTCACTTGTCCTCTGGGGAATGTCGGGGCTTCCTGTCCCTTAGTGAAAGACTGTTCATTTGTGGAAATGTCCATGTCTTAGGGGACTCCTCTTCCTTTGCCAGGCCTTTTCTTCTCTGTTCATAAGGCTCACGTGATCTTTGTCTTTCAGTTCTAAGTAGGCACCTACTGTAGTAGTGATTGGGGACCAAATGCTGCCCACCACCATCATCACCACAATCCTGGTATTTCACACCACCCCCTCTGCCAGTGCCTCTGTGATAGCACCTGCTTCTCAAACATTCAAGGAACTGAGACCAGCACAGGCTTTTCTGTCTGTGAGGACATGCTCTTCTTGCATTTCTTGCTCTGTTCTCTCCTTTGGCCACTCTGAGCCAGGAGGAGCAGCCTTCGAGCCCTTCTCTTGTTCCTTGGGGGGGGGGGAACCTTCTCCAGTCCTTTTCCTTGGAGTCTAGGAAATACACCATGTGGAATGTAACTGCTTCACAAGCAGGATAGAAGGTACAGTGACAGTCCCTGAGAACCCTCTTCCAGCCTTCATTGGGTGAGCCATGAGACACCCCCCACCCCCACTGCTTCTCCTTGGGGCAGGCTCACACTCATCTACACCTGCCTCCTGACAACATTTGGCCAGTGTGGATTTCCCCCCTTTCTTAAATGTCCATGGTTCTGGGGAGATAAAGAAGAACTGTCTTCAGTCTCTCTTTGCCGCTTTCTCTGGGTGGGGAGGGGTTTGCCAGGGTTCCTGAACGCCCTCAGGCTGCTCCCTGCTGCTGTCCTGTGGACTCAAGTACATAGGCCAGTGTGTTGGACAGCCATTTTAAAAGGGTCTTGAGGTCACGGGGTAAGGGGAGGGTGGCAGTCAGTCATGTTCATCAAGAAAGTCAAGCTGGGGAAAATGCTGAATCTTTCTCCAGGGGTGGGAGGGTGGTGATTTTTTCTTTGTAATGTTTAGTTTAACCTTTTTGGTTGTTTGTGCAATATTATATATTTTAAATTATAATGCACCTCCCCAGAGCATTTTGTAGCTGGGAAAAAGAAAAAAAAGATTCTAACAGCTGTTAGTTTTGTAATTTAAAAACCCCACAAAGAAACTTTGTCCTGAACCTTTTGCAGACTTGCAGTTAACAGCTATTAAAGACATTCGAGTTAGCCAGAGGTGTCTGGGGCTTTGTTCTTGTCCCCCCCTTAGTGGTCCTGGTGGGGGGAGGTGTCTGGCCTGGTCTGGGCTGCAGCCCCTTTGGGGTGGGGCCCAGCCCAAGAGCAGCATTCCATTGTGGCCACTGGTTGGAGCAGAGCCCCCATCACCCCGGCACTCGGTTAGGGGCTGAGAGAAAGGAACTGCTGCAAGCTAGCTAGTACCCTGAACTGGGGCCCTGCCTGAAGGGGACAGTGGCCTACCAGGCCCAAGAGGCAGGCACCTGGCCCTCGCTGAGACAAGGAGTCAAGAGGCCTTTTCTGCATTATTCCCAATGCTTCTGCTTTTATTTGGAAAGTTGCAACAACGGCGTAGATGCAATAGTTCTGGTAACTTTTCTCCTCCTCCTCCTCCTCCTCCCCCAGGTGTGTGCTTCTGGGGTCTATTTTAATTTACTTTAGTTAAACACCTGTAGTATAAAAATTCACATCGGGCATGATAAATGGGAGGTCTGAATGAAGCCCTTGGTTCCATGAAGGTCTTTTAAGGGAAAAGAGAGAGGGGGTGGGGATGAGTTTTATAGGATAAGCAAACGTAAAGTGTAAAATATATATCACCATTTTAGAAGCAGACTTTGGGTTTTCTTTCTCCCCTGCTTTATTGGGGAGGACTTGCTATTGCTTTTATCAAGTGTTTGCTAGCCATGGATGCCAACTAACTTCTTCGATTGAAGGCCGGAGGATCATGTCTGGTTCTAGGAGCCTCTTGAGCAGGTCCTGGCATTCAGCCGAGATGCCCAGGTGCCCAGGGAAGGACACCCCCTTCTGCTGCTGCCACAGCATCTTGGGGATATCTGTGTCATCAAAAGGCAGGCTGGCGCACAGCATGACATAGAGGACCACGCCCATGCTCCAGACATCGCCCTTCTTGCTGTCGTGGGGGATGCCCTGCAGCACCTCTGGGGCAGCATAGGCTGTGCTGCCACAGAAGGTCTGGCTCAGCTCCCGCCGTGTCTTGGGCAGTACCTTGGCAAAGCCGAAGTCAGTCAGCTTTAGGTTATAGCCCTGCAGCAGGGCGTTCTCACACTTCAGGTCTCGGTGGGCCACGCCACAGCCGTGGCAGTAGCGGATGGCCTCCACCAGCTGGCGGAAGAGGGCCTTGGCCCGGCTCTCAGGCAGAGGCCCGCCGTGCAGCACGCAGTCAAAGACGTCTCCCCCCTCGGCCAGCTCCATCACCAAGCAGGTCTTACCATCGGCTGACTCCAGCATCTCGTACACCTGGATGATGTTCTTGTGATCCAGGCTGCGAACGATCTGGAGCTCGCGCGGCAGGAACCTCTGGATGAATTCTGTGGGGAAGGAGATAGAAGAATAAGGGATGAGCAGTGAGACAGGATGTGGAAATGTGATCCCAACTTCATAGGCCCTCGTCACCGCTCGTCTTTCCCTGGTTCTCACTGCTGCTGCTTTCCAAAGCCCTCTCACATGTACATCAGTGGGGAGGACAGGAGGTATACAACCTCTCTAAGCCTCAAGTGTCATAGTCTGCAAAATGGGAGCTTCTTATAACTGAAATTTTATGCATCCAGGAAAGCAGCATGGAGCCGATAGTCCTGAAGTGGCCCCAACTGCCCTAGATTTTTGGGTGTTGACAAACTACTGCCCCTCTCTGGGAGTCTGTTCATCTCATCAGTAAAATCGGGAGGTCCAGCTGTAACCATCTATGAGTCCCTGCACTTCCTACCTTACAGGGTGGTTAGGAGGATCAGCCTGGAGGGACCTTGGCCCCGGAAAGCACTTTAGAACCGGCATGTAAGGCCCTATATAAATGTAAAGTGGTGGCATTAGCTCAATGTTATAGATGGGGAAACTTGAAGGAGACAATAGACTGAACCCAAGGTTATACACACACACATTTATCGTTTCTTCTGGACCAAGTGCCCAGTCCGATTCTTTTCCATTAAACTGGCCTTGTCCTCTCCCTCCCATTTACTGCTTCCTCGGGCCTCGGGTACCTCTGCTTCTAGGACCCTTTGGAGCACAGGGCCCCTTGGCCCCATGCTGGACACACCTGATCGGATGCACTAAGGGTCGAGAGGAGCTGCCACCCTGGAAGAGCAAGTTACCACGCCCGGTAACCCCGGAGCCTCCGGCCAACGCGTGCTTGAGCGGAAGAGCTGCACAAAAGGAGCCAGTCCCCCCACGCTGCCCTCATCCTACGTGGTGCACGTCCTTCCTCCCCTCCCCCAAGGGGAGGGCCCGCCCCGCCCCGCCCCGCCCTGTCCTGTAGGGCAGGAAGCCGCGCTTCCAGGCCCCTCTCACCTTCTGGCCCTCCCATCTTGTCTATAATTTTAACTGCCACTTTTCTTTGATGTTTTTTGGAAAATGCTTCCTTCACTTTTGAATAGGTCCCTTCCCCAATGGTCTTGCCCAGCTGGTATCCACTGGAGAGCAGAAAGTCCTCCATGCTGTCTCTCCTCCTTCCTTCCCCGTCACCGCCTCAGCTCATCCTGCCTCTGCGAGGCAGCTCTACTCCACCATCGCCCTCGGCCCGCGCCTCTCCCCTCCAGGACTTCATCCGCAGCCGCCCCCAGCGCTAGAACATTCTCCGTCCGGACACAGCCGCGGGTGGGGGAGGGGGCGGGGGCCGGACATTTTTAAGCTCGGGCCCCGATTATGATGTAAACTGATGTGGCACAAGTGACCCGCGGTGCTGCCCCCGGCTACCAAAATGGGCAGTGTCCCCCTCCCCCGCCCCCTCGGGCCCCGCATTGTCACCATCGCCCGGCCGCGGAGAGCTGCGGCTGGGCCAGCCCGTGCCTCGGTGGGCGCCTGCAAGAGCAAGATCGCGGGCTGCGGCCGTCCAGCCGGGGCCCGAAGCCGAGCGGAGTCCAGCCGCGCCGAGCCGTGCCGTGGGAACGCCTATGCCCGATCTAGAGGCCGCTCGGCGCCCCTGCAGTGTGCACAGTCCTGGGCCGGCTGCCCCCGGTGCCCCGCGTCCCTCCCGCCACGACCCGCCGCGGCCCGGCCGAAGTGGCGGCCAGACCCGCGCCGTCCCGCCCGAGCAGTGAGGGTTCCCCGGAGAGAGGAACGGGCCCGGGGCGGGCCGCGGCCCCCAGCTACTGTGAGGTCAGCGCGCCCGCCCCGTGGGTCACAATGCAGCCCGCGCCCTCGACGGTTCGGTCCCGCCGCGCGCCCCGCCCCGCTGCCCCAGACACCTGCCCGGCTACCCCTGGACCAGAGCGTCCTACCGCGGCCAGGGCTCAGGCAGCTGTTTCCCGCCTGGGACCGGCTCCGGCCTCCAGCAGGTGAGAATCCCGGGCCGGAGCGGGCGGGGACGAGCGCGGGGCGGCAGCCCGACGGCCGGGCCGGGGCTGAGCGCAGCGTTGCTCCCCGCAGAGCTTCCCAGGGCCCGGACATGAGCGCCCAGGAGCCCCCGCAAGGTCGGAGATTCCCCATTGAGGCCGGAGACTCCCCCGGCCTGGCCGCAGCCCCCGAGCCCCAGGACAGCGCGGAGCCCGTTGCTACGGAGCACACCCCGGTCAGGTGAGGGATGCAGAGGCGGCCCGAGCCCGGGGCGCCTGTGGCTCGCTCCCCTCCCCCGCCCATCATCGCATAGGACTTAGAACTGCAGGGGAAGGGGGAGATCATTTAGGTCCACCCGTGCCCCGGCCCCTATTTGGCAGATGGGAAAACTGAGACCGGGGAAGGGCTGGGCACGGACCCGGGATTCGAACTTGGAGTTCCGGACTCCAAGTGCAGCCGTACTTGACTCTTTCCTAGGCCTGGAGGTTCTAACCTCCAACTTCTACACCTCCCCACTTTCCTCGCCCCCCACCCCCAGCAGGCCGCTGCGACGCTGCCCTGGCTGCCACTGCCTGACGCTGCTGCACGTGCCCATCGACGTCTACCTGGCAATGAGCGGAAGCCCCCGGGCCCGCGCCACTTGAGTGCGCCTGCGCGACGGTTCCGAGGGGGCCGGGCGGGGGCCGGGCGGGGGCCGGGCCGGCCGCGGGGTCACCGCGCTGAGGTCGCGCGCGCCGAGCACGAGACAATGATGCACATTTTAAAATAAAAGAATGATGCACATTTTAATAAAAGCACAGCTTACACTGTTCTTTACACTCCGGGCTGGCTGCGTGTGTGTGTGCGTCTGTCCGTCCTTCAGCCCTGCCACCCGCCCCTGAAATTCAACGCAATGCCATGCAGCAAACATTTAGTAAGCACTCACTGTGTGCAGGGCTTAGCGCTGGGCGAGGAGTATGCCGAGCAAACGTGTGAAACGATCCCTAAAGGAGCTTACCAACCAAAGCGGGGTGGGCATGAGGGACGACACCGGGGGTGCCCTAGAGAAACAAACCCTGGGGTCATTGGAGGGAGGAGAGAGCGCTAGCAACGAGGGATGGTTATCAGGGAAGGCTTCCTAGCAGTGGTAGCACCGGAGGTGACCTGGTGCCCCCCCCCTTAGAATAGCGGTTGTCAAATATGGGGGGAGGGTGCCCTTAGAATCTCTGAGTCCCTTTCAGGGGGTCTGAGAGTCAAAACTATTTTCATAGTGCTACCAAAATTTAATTTCTCAAAAAGGTCAATATTGATAACTGTAACACACATAAACAAAAGCTGGGATGAGGGGAAAGGCCCACAGTAATTTTCAAGAGTGTAAAATTTGGGTCCAGGATGTCTATCTAGGAACATAAAGACTCTGAGAGAAGGAAGGAAGAAAGAGGATTCCAAGCCTGGGAGGCAGCCTGGAGGAAAGCTTGGAAGGAGGGGTAGATGCTGAGGAGCCAGTGAGTGGGGAGGTAAGGGAGATGTAATATGAAACAAAGTAGATGACAGTCTTTGCTCTTTTTCTCCTTCCTTCCCTCTAAAACCTTTTCTCATTCCCTTTTTCTCTTCTTTCCCTCCTTTATTTCTTCTGGTTTTCTTCCCGACGCCAGAACTTGGTTCTGATTCTTAGTAAAATTCTAGAACCTGTTCACTAAGAAAAGGAAGTGGTCAGTCATTGCAAAGAACCAGACTGCAATGCTGGTCTGACTAACCTCATTTCCCTTTTTGACCAAGCTATTGATTGGACTGGCAGAACCAGAGAAATGCTACAGATAAATAGCATAGCATTTGGCAAAGTCCTCGTGGACTAGATGGTAATCGAATGGAGTGGCCATCAATGATTTGACATCAAACCATTTTGACATCAACAGGAAGGTCTCTAGTGGTTGACTAGTGGAGTGTTTAAGGAATCTGCTTGAGGCTGTGCTCCTTTAAATTTTAATGACCTAGATAAAGGCTTATCACATTTTCAGAGGGCGGAAAAAACAATCCACTGGATGATAGATGCATGATCCAAAAATACATTGACAGGTTAGAACACTGGGCAGTCATACTTGTATCAAAAGGTGGGGAGTATATATTGAGAAAACAATGTAAGTTTTTCATGTAAAGCAATGTGGCTGGCATGAATCTATTTGTAACTTTAAAAAAATGATGGTGGGGTGGCTCAGTGGATAGAGCACCAGCCCTGCATTCAGGAAGACCTGAGTTCAAACCCGGCCTCAGACACATAAAACACTTACTAGCTGTGTGACCCTGGGCAAGTCACTTAACTCCATTGCCTAGCCAAAAAAAAAAAATGGTGGTGGTGACAGTCAGTGAGATGAATGCAAAGTTCTACACTGAGGTTCAAAAAATCAATGTCACAGGTAATGATAATAGTAAGAGCTTAGGTTTATCTACTAATACTTTAAAGTTTACAAGGTTCTTTAGACCTCTTCTCTCATTTGATCCTCACGACAATCTTCTGGTGTGTTATTATTTTCTCTCCATTTTATTGATGAGGAAAATAAAGCTTAGAGAAGTTAAGTTAAAACTTTCCCAGTGTCATGCCAAGATATGAGAAGAACAATGAAAGATATAACTGTCTTCCAGGTATTTGAAGGGCTCTCTTGAGGCAGAATTGGGACCAACAGGTGGAAATTGAAAAGCTATAAACGATGTAGGTATCTAACTCAATATAATCATAACAATTAGAACTACCCCCCAAATAAAATAAATTTCTATGCAAAAATATTTATAGCAGTACTTTTTGTTGTGGCAAAGAACTGGAAATGGGTGCCTGCCAGTTAGAGAAATTATAAAGGGGGTGGTTTCTGAGAAACCTGGTAAAATTTGTATGAACTGATGCAGAGTGAAATGAATGGAACCAGGAGAACAGTGTATCCAATAACAACGATACTGTAAGGATAAGTAACTTTGAAAGACTAAAAAACTCTGATCAATGCCATGGCCAACCATGATTCCAAATTCTAGAACACCAATGCTGAAGCATGTCTAACGTAGAATTTGTTTTGCTCAACTATTCATATTTGTTACAAGGGTTTTGTTTGTTTTTCTTCAGTGGTGAGGGGAGATGAGAGAGAGAGAAAGACAGAGAGAAAGAGAGGAGAGAGAGAGACGGAGAGAGGAGAGGGAGAGAAGAGAGAGAGAGAGGAGAGAGAGAGAGAGAGAGAGAGAGAGAGAGAGAGAGAAGAGAGAGAGAGAGAGAGAGACGTAATTGGGAGGAAAATTACAAGAAAATGAAATGGGTTGCCTTGGGAGGGATTTCCCCATCTAGAGGGAGAGGTCTTCAAACAAAGGCTGAATCATCCTTTGTCAGAGATGTCAAAAGAGGGATTCCTCTTTAAATAAAGGTTCGGCTTGATCACTTCTAAGATCCCTTTCACTATGAGGTTCAGTGACTATCTCCCTCTTCATTCTACCTCCTTTCAACCTTTTTACCCATTTTCTATCTTCTCATCTTACCTGTTTCTTCTCTCCTTTTTCCATTCCCACCTTCTCTTCCAAGTCCTTCATTCATGCATGTATTAAGTCCTGGGCAATGGAGATAGAGGCAAAGACAATCCCTACCCTAAGATTCCCTTTTCCTCTTTCTTCTTTTCCCCTCCCCTATCTCCTCCCATCTCTTCTGCCTCTTCTCTTCCATTCCCCTTTTCCCTCCTCTCCATCTTCTCCCTTTTTCTAATATCTCACTCTCCAAATTTCTCTCCTCTCTTCACCTTGCCCTAGATTCAGGTGAACTCTTCTGTCTTTTAGCCCTTCCCCTCTGTTTCCCAGGGTTGGGCTGTGGAGTTGTCTGCCCTAGTACTTGTGTTCCAAGATGGGGCTAGACATTTGGAAGTGCCCAGAGGAGTAGGGGGGGGAGACCTAGGAGGGGAGAAATATCCCCTGTGACCGCAGTGGGGCGATAGGGAGCCAGGGAGCTCTGTCCTATGGGTCAAACCAGCCTGGTGACGTCATAGCCCCAGGGGATTCCCTCCCCAACTCCCCTCCCCCACCACCTACAAACTTCCCAGCAATTTGGCCAGGGGCCAGAAGGGGGGGGATGTTGGGGTGAGAGAGGACCTAGACCAATCAACTGAAGGAATTGGGAACCTGGCCCAAGAAAGGGGCTGGCCAGGGTGATCCCCGGCTGTGGAAACTCCCCTCTCCCCAGACCTGACTTGGAATCTTAAGGACTTAAAGATATGATAATCACACAATCACGATCTTCCAGAACCCAAAAACCATCCCTCCCCCTCCAAGAGTAAAAGGTGAGTGCTTAGCATCAGTGCCAGAGGAATTGAGGTGTCCTTGTAGCCCAGTCCAGCCCAGCCCCTGATCTGGACCTAAGTGTTCTCCTCTGGAGAATGGGGAGATGTTCTGAATGACCCCCAACCACCTCAGCCCTAGAAACCTCAGCTCTTCCCTTCCCCTCCTGTTCCCCCGACACAAACATGTCCACTTTCTCTTTCATGTTCTCACTGCCTTTGTTTCTCCCTGTCCCCTAGTCCTCCCTAGTTAGAACCCCTCCCCCTGCTCTTTTCTGACTAGAGACCCCCATTTCTAAATGGGGGGCTGCACAGATGGAGGCCCAGTTACCATGGTAACAGCAAGGAAAGGGGTTTCTGTGTCGCCATAGCAACTTCAGACGTCAGACCTGTGCCCTTTCCTATCACCCACTGAAGGGAGGTAGGAGGGAGGGGGTGGAAATGGAGGAAGGGGGTTTTAGGAGAAGGGGAAACAGGCTACCTCTTCTCCACTCATTCCCAGCCCTGTGCAGCTGGGGGTCAGACCCAGATTTTTCTTTCTAACTCCTCAAGGCTGTAGGAACCTATATATACTTCCTCTCCCCTACCATCCTAGGGGGTCCCTAGGTTCCTGCTTCCATATTTGTTCAATGAACCCAAGGGACAGTTTGGCATAGAAAGAGATGCCCTCCCATCCCCACTTTGGGAGATTTCAAGGTTTCCCTGCGTTCGGGTCAGGGGTCTCAGGGTTTGGGTTCTTAAGGCCAAAAGGTCTTAATTAACAAGAACCATAGATCTGGGGAGTCTGAAAGCTTTAGGGTTGAAGAATCCAGTGTCTAGGGTCTCAGGGTCCAGGAATTTCAGGGTTGGGGTATGTCATGATTGGGCTGGGCGTCTCCGAGTCCAGAGGTCTCAGACTCTGGGGTTCCCAGGTTTAACGGGGCTCTG